AAGAATCCATGGTGGCTATCTTACTTTTTTTAAGAGATAGGGTCCGCCGGGCGCGGTGGCTCAAGCCTGTAATCCCAGCACTTTGGGAGGCCGAGGAAGGTGGATCACGAGGTCAAGAAATTGAGACCATCCTGGTCAACATGGTGAAACCCCCGTCTCTACTAAAAATACAAAAAATTAGCTGGGCATGGTGGTGTGTGCCTGTAATCCCAGCTACTCAGGAGGCGGAGGCAGGAGAATTGCCTGAACCCAGGAAGCGGAGGTTGCGGTGAGCCGAGATCGTGCCATTGCACTCCAGCCTGGGTAACAAGAGCGAAACTCCGTCTCAAAAAAAAAAAAAAAAAAAAAAAAAAAAAAAAAAAGAGATATGGTCTTACTCTGTCAGCCAGTCAGGAGTGCAGCCTCAAACACCTGGGCTCAAGCAATCCTCCCACCTCAGCCTGCTGAGTAGCTGGGACTACAGTTGTATGCTACCGTGTTTGGCTTATCTTTATTTTATTTTATTTTATTTTTGTAGTTAGGGGTCTCACTATGTTGCCCAGGCTGATCTTGGATCCCTAACATCAAGCAATCCTCCCATCTTAACCTCCCAAAGTGCCAAACAATGCTGTGCACACTCTCTTACCATACAAACATTGCTGCGCACACACTCTTACCATAGAAACAATGCTGCACACACTCTCGCCATACAATGCTGTGCACACTCTTACCATACAAACATTGCTGCACACACTCTACCATACAAACATTGCTGCGCGCACTCTCTTACCATACAAACAATGCTGCGCACACTCTCTTACCATACAAACAATGCTGTGCACCCTCTCTTACCATACAAACAATGCTGCGCACCCTCTCTTACCATACAAACATTGCTGCGCACACTCTCTTACCATACAAACATTGCTGCACACACTCTACCATACAAACAATGCTGCGCACACTCTCTTACCATACAAACAATGCTGCGCACACTCTCTTACCATACAAACAATGCTGCGCACACTCTCTTACCATACAAACAATGCTGTGCACCCTCTCTTACCATACAAACAATGCTGCGCACCCTCTCTTACCATACAAACATTGCTGCGCACACTCTCTTACCATACAAACAATGCTGCGCACCCTCTCTTACCATACAAACATTGCTGCGCACACACTCTTACCATACAAACAATGCTGCGCACCCTCTCTTACCATACAAACATTGCTGCGCACACACTCTTACCATACAAACATTGCTGCGCACACACTCTTACCATACAAACAATGCTGCGCACACTCTCTTACCATACAAACATTGCTGCGCACACTCTTACCATATAAACAATGCTGCGCACCCTCTCTTACCATACAAACATTACTGCGCACACTCTTACCATACAAACAATGCTGCGCACACTCTCTTATTATACAAACAATGCTGCGCACACTCTCTTACCATACAAACATTGCTGCGCACACTCTTACCATACAAACAATGCTGCGCACACTCTCTTACCATACAAACAATGCTGCGCACCCTCTCTTACCATACAAACAATGCTGCGCACACTCTCTTACCATACAAACAATGCTGCGCACCCTCTCTTACCATACAAACATTGCTGCGCACACTCTACCATACAAACAATGCTGCGCACACTCTCTTACCATACAAACAATGCTGCGCACACTCTCTTACCATACAAACAATGCTGCGCACACTCTACCATACAAACAATGCTGCGCACACTCTCTTATTATACAAACAATGCTGCGCACACTCTCTTACCATACAAACATTGCTGCGCACACTCTTACCATACAAACAATGCTGCGCACACTCTCTTACCATACAAACATTACTGCGCACACTCTCTTACCATACAAACAATGCTGCGCACACTCTCTTACCATACAAACAATGCTGTGCACCCTCTCTTACCATACAAACAATGCTGCGCACACTCTCTTACCATACAAACAATGCTGCGCACACTCTACCATACAAACAATGCTGCGCACCCTCTCTTACCATACAATGCTGCGCACACTCTACCATACAAACAATGCTGCGCACCCTCTCTTACCATACAAACAATGCTGTGCACCCTCTCTTACCATACAAACAATGCTGCGCACCCTCTCTTACCATACAAACAATGCTGTGCACCCTCTCTTACCATACAAACATTGCTGCACACCCTCTCTTACCATACAAACAATGCTGCGCACACTCTACCATACAAACAATGCTGCGCACCCTCTCTTACCATACAATGCTGCGCACACTCTACCATACAAACAATGCTGCGCACCCTCTCTTACCATACAAACAATGCTGTGCACCCTCTCTTACCATACAAACAATGCTGCGCACCCTCTCTTACCATACAAACAATGCTGTGCACCCTCTCTTACCATACAAACATTGCTGCACACCCTCTCTTACCATACAAACAATGCTGCGCACACTCTACCATACAAACAATGCTGCGCACCCTCTCTTACCATACAATGCTGCGCACACTCTACCATACAAACAATGCTGCGCACCCTCTCTTACCATACAAACAATGCTGTGCACCCTCTCTTACCATACAAACAATGCTGCGCACCCTCTCTTACCATACAAACAATGCTGTGCACCCTCTCTTACCATACAAACATTGCTGCACACCCTCTCTTACCATACAAACAATGCTGCGCACACTCTACCATACAAACAATGCTGCACACCCTCTCTTACCATACAAACAATGCTGCGCACACTCTCTTACCATACAAACAATGCTGCGCACACTCTCTTACCATACAAACATTGCTGCGCACACTCTTACCATACAAACAATGCTGTGCACCCTCTCTTACCATACAAACAATGCTGCGCACACTCTCTTACCATACAAACAATGCTGCGCACACTCTACCATACAAACAATGCTGCGCACCCTCTCTTACCATACAAACATTGCTGCACACCCTCTCTTACCATACAAACAATGCTGCGCACACTCTACCATACAAACAATGCTACGCACCCTCTCTTACCATACAAACAATGCTGCGCACACTCTCTTACCATACAAACAATGCTGCGCACACTCTCTTACCATATAAACAATGCTGCGCACACTCTACCATACAAACAATGCTACGCACCCTCTCTTACCATACAAACAATGCTACGCACCCTCTCTTACCATACAAACAATGCTGCGCACACTCTACCATACAAACAATGCTACGCACCCTCTCTTACCATACAAACAATGCTGCGCACACTCTCTTACCATACAAACATTGCTGCGCACACTCTTACCATACAAACATTGCTGAGCACACTCTCTTACCATACAAACATTACTGCGCACACTCTACCATACAAACAATGCTACGCACCCTCTCTTACCATACAATGCTGCGCACACTCTACCATACAAACAATGCTGCGCACCCTCTCTTACCATACAATGCTGCGCACACTCTCTTACCATACAAACAATGCTGCGCACACTCTCTTACCATACAAACATTGCTGCGCACACTCTCTTACCATACAAACAATGCTGCACACACTCTCTTACCATACAAACAATGCTGTGCGCACTCTCTTACCATAAAGTTATTTGCATTTGTGAACAGCTCCAAAATCAGAAAATTCTTTTTATATTGCATTAAACTTCTTTTTTTTCTTATAACTTTTGGGGTTGGGCAGAATCAAATTTCTCTTCCATCTGCCAGCCTTCAAATATTTGAAGACAGATATGTTCTTTGTCCAGGTAGGTAACTCAAGTCCTCACATTTGTTCCTCCCCAGACTTTATCTCCAGACCTTTCACCATCTCCCTTACCTCTGGGCTTGCACTCTTTGAACAACTTCCTTTTTTAAAATGTGACATCCTGAACTGATCATAATAGTCCAGATTTGTTCCAAAAGCAGTGCCGAGGAGCTACGCCTCCTTTCTCCTGCACACTGTACATCTGTTAATGCCGCCCACATTTGCACATGTTTTGCTGGCAGCCATGCTCTACTCGAGTTATTCTAAATTACCAAGCTGATATACTTGCCTCTTTTTAAAAAATAGACTTCAAGTTTCTAGAGGGCAGAAACTCAGTCCAGACTTCCGTGTGGCATGCAAGCTGTCCCACAGTCTGACCCCCCTCCAGTTTTTCCCTTGCCTCACTATACTCCTCTGCATAGAGCATTGCTCCAGCTTGATGGTCCACTCTCCATTTTCCTCACTGCTGCTCCAGTCTCCACCGTGTGTCAGAATTACCTACAGTTTTCATGCAACACGACATAACTACATCTCTCCATGGCTTTAAAACATTTGATACTTCACACCGGAAGGGACACACAGAGGTCTTCCCAGCATGGGTCCTGCCTACCCTTCTAGCCTCACGTTTCACCATCCTCCTCTTTCTTTCTCCCTAGGCCAACTGGGAGTAACTAACTGCCTGTCTTCTAGGAACAGAACACATCACGAGTGTGTTACTTGCTGTGGTCTGGTTTAATCACAGTTAGGAATATGTGTTCCCTATTAGATTATAAATGCATTTAGGACATGGTTAGTGTTTTGTTCATTTTTGCCTTTCTATTCTAGCATCAGACCTGGCAGAGAGTGGATTTTAATGAATGGTAGTGGAATGAAGGGGATGGATGGTCGCTAGATAGGCACGTGCCCTGTCTCCCACTTGGGCTGTAAGACTTAGAGGGCAGGGCTCAAGTATAATATACTGTGGTGCATCTCCACTGCTTCAAAGGGAAGAATTTCAGTCCATGTCTGGATCATCTAGGTCTCCTCCCTCTAACTGTGTACATGTTCTGAGCCTGTACACTCAGGGAGCCCAGGTGAGGGTGTAGACACTTGCACATGGCTTTTATCAAGTTCATCTCCTGACTCTTCCTTCTCCGTCTCTCCTCCCTCCCTCCTTGCTCTCCATTGCCTCTCTCCTGTGCCCCCCTCCCCCGCCACACACCTGCTGTTCCTTCCCTGTCTGTCCTCTCTGCAGTCAGTGTCTGCTTCCCTGTGTGTGTGGAAGTGCCCTCGGAGACGGAGGCCGTGCAGGGCAACCCCATGAAGCTGCGCTGCATCTCCTGCATGAAGAGAGAGGAGGTGGAGGCCACCACGGTGGTGGAATGGTTCTACAGGCCCGAGGGCGGTAAAGATTTCCTTGTATGTTAGCCTGCTGACTCTGGCCTTTCTTCTGCTGGCCTCTGCTGTTCTGAGCCTGGCTCCTGACAGCCTGGGGGATGCCAAGCTAGCAAACACTGGCTCTTTCTCTTTCGAACACTGACAGCTCCTCGGCAGATAACTGACAGCCTTAGTTTCGCCCAGCTTCTGTGAAAGAAAGGGCACTGGGCCAGCAGTAAGCACCGTTGGTGATAGGCCGGGGAAAGCAGAGAAAAGAGATAATAAGCTATATTTAAAGCCTACTATGTGACATGAGCCCTACCAGGCATTTTGCAGCTGTTTTCATGTAACCTTCTGCGCAATCCTATTATATGGTTTAAATTAATAAAGAAACTGGAATAACACAAAGCATCATTATGTGAAATAACAAAGGTTGGCTCCTTTAACTCCCACAATCCCAGTGAAATAGGAATGACCAAGAGTGATCCAAGGGTGATATTCACCTGGGACACCCAGTATAGCAACATCAGCCAGTAAACTATTTTAGACAGTTCTCCCATGGATACTTGATGTGCCCAGTCTCCTAAGTGGCTGAACCCCCAGACCTCTCCGTGATTTGGAAACCAAGAGATTCACTCCTGGCAGAGCAAGGAGTCTTCTGGATTCTATTCCTGCACCATAACCAATGTCAGTTCTGCTTGGTTGGTGCCAGTGGCAAAGTGGTTGTCACATTTTTTTCTCTCTTTCTCATTTGAGACAGAGTCTCCCTCTGTCACCCAGCTGGTGTGCAGTGGTACAATCTAGCTCACTGCAACCTCCGCCTCCCAGGTTCAAGCAACTCTCCCACCTCAGCTTCCTCTGTAGCTGGAACTACAGGCATGAGCCACCATACCCAGCTAATTTTTGTATTTTTAGTAGAGACAGGGTTTTGCCATGTTGGCCAGGCTGGTCTCGAACTCCTGACCTCAGGTCAGCCACACAGCTCAGCCTCCCAAAGTGCTGGGATACAGGCGTGAGCCACCGCACCAGGTCGGTTGTCATACATTTTGAATACTACCTTGGAGATGAGCATTATTTACTCCTTCACTGACTCTGGAGCCAGGTTGCCTGGGTTTGACTCTTGACTTCACACTTACTACCTCTGTGTCCTCGGACATGTTGGTCAACCTTTCTGTGCCTCAGTTTCCTCATTTTTAAAGTGGGGATATAAAGCATAGCCAAATTATAGTGCTGTTACCAGGACTCATGAGCTATAATTTTTAATGCATTAAAAATAGTTCCTGGAATATAGTAAGCGCTATGTTAAGTATTTGCTAGAGAAAAGATATAGACACAGAAATGAAGGAACTGAGGCTCAGAGAAGTTAATAAGACAGCTTAGACTAGAGCCAGGTGGTCTCACAGCAGATACAAGGCCCTTTTTATGGTACTGCTTTGCCTTCCTCGGGGCAAGATTCTCTTCTACAAAGATTTGTAATGGAGACAACGGAAGGGTGAAACTGGGTTTAGCTTGCTCTTCTTTCTTGCTATTCTAAAGCCGAACTCATTTCTGACTCTGGCTTCTATGTGCCATTCTGAAGTAGATTCGCTATAGTCAGGTGCCAAGACTGGGACCAGCAGAGACTTCCCAGAGCCTAGCTCAGTCTTGACAGTGACATGTCAATGAAGCTGCAGCTGAGGCTAGCCCCCAGCTGTAGGAGGCTGGATGTCTTGGCCAGATGCAAAGGCCCCCAGGGGCTGCAGGCCCGGTCATGTACCAGTTATAGCTGCCCACATTTCTTCCAGGCCTGCCCAAAGTGAGGAGAAAGTGGATCAGAAGAAGAACATGAAAAATAAAACAACAGCAAAAAACCCGTGGAAATCCAGAGCAATGCTGTCTCATAGAGATGTTTGTGACGGTGGAAACCTCTATGTGCCGTGCAGTACAATGGTCACCAGCCATACGTGGCTATGAATAATTGAAATGTGACCAGTGCCACTGAGAAGCTGAATTTTACATTTTATTTAATTTCTAGGTAATTGAATTTAAGTAGCTAGTGGAGACTAGAATAGACAGCACAACTGTAGCAAGAGAGGAAAAAAAGGTGTGTTATGTCAGAGGGTGGAAGTGTTGAGAATGTAAAAGATGAGATTTCAGTTAAAATTCAGTACTAAGCAAAAGACATGATGTGTGCCTCTCTGGTGATGGCTATCTGCTCATCTGTCACGCTTCAGCATCCTAAGCCCTCTTCCTGTGGCCTGGCCCAGACTGTCCCACAGCCCCGACGAGTACCAGCACAGAGAGTCCAGTTTTAAAGCCAGGGCTGTCAGATGTCTTCATTACTAATGAAACTGCCTGTCTTGCTGTCTGTATCTTGTTTGCTCGCTGGTGGCCCTGGAACACATCTTACTGTCTTGTTTTCTCCTTCTATCTCTTTCAAATCCTGTCTTTCTCTCAATGTCCCCCTCCTGGTCTCACATACCCTTCTCCCACCTGCCTTTGTTCTCCCTCTTTCCGCCACTTTTTTCCTGCCAAGCTTCTTCCTGCCCACTCCTAGCTGCCTCTGTCCTCACCGTGTCTACATGCCCTGATGCCCGCTGCCTCTGCCTGTTCTTCTCTGTCTTTGCTCTCTTTCCTACCCTCCTCTGTGACTCTTCATCCCACCCCCACATTCTGGGTCTCCTGGTGACACACTCCCCTGTCTTCCCTGTCCATGCACAATTCTGCTCCTTTTCTCTGCCCTGTCCCTAACTCGGCTTTTCCCCCATCCCCTCTCCTGGCCCTACCTTCTTCTGGTCCTCTATCTGCAGATCTATGAGTATCGGAATGGCCACCAGGAGGTGGAAAGCCCCTTTCAGGGGCGTCTGCAGTGGAATGGAAGCAAGGACCTGCAGGACGTGTCCATCACTGTGCTCAACGTCACTCTGAATGACTCTGGCCTCTACACCTGCAATGTGTCCCGGGAGTTTGAGTTTGAGGCGCATCGGCCTTTTGTGAAGACGACGCGGCTGATCCCCCTAAGAGTCACCGAGGAGGGTGAGACTGAGGCACAGGGTCTCTAGAGCGTCCTGCTCTCTGTGGACAGGGCAGGGTAGGATAGCAGGTCTCCACATGAGTGAGATCCTTAAAGAGTGCAAACACCCAGGTATGTGGAATGGTAACATCTAAAAATGTCACCATTGACCCATCTGCCTTTGGTGGCTAGCTTCTTGTAAACTGCCCAAGGAGCTTATCTTTCTGTGCCTTTCCTCAAAGCAGAAAGGCTTGGAAATGGTAGAATGACCTCTTCCTGGTCTCTTAGAGAAAGGAGCTAGCCTCCGAAAGCTATTGATTCAGCTAGGCCTGTTGAATTCCTCTGGCCTTTGTTGAATCCCTGACTCAGTGGGCTCCAAGGAATCTCAGAAGTCATCTCTCCTTCTGCCTGTGAGAAAGCCATGCCTCTAAACCAGGAGTTCTCAAACTTTAGCAAACCTCAAACTCTCCTGCAGGGCTTTGTGGAACCCAGGCTTTCTGCTTCTGTTGGCGGAGCCTGAGAGTTTGCCTTGCCTGACACATTGACACACAGGCAGTGCTGCTGCTGGAACCACACTTCGAGAACCGCTCTCTAAACCAAAGTTTCACAATCTTTTTTTCTTTTGTCTTTCTTCACAATAATCATACATGCAACCCCTTCCCCGTCTCTGTGGCATCTCTTATTACATGAATTCATTCTCTGCTAGGAGAAGGGGGAGAGGTTGGTAGCTCTCTATTCTTACTTAAAATCTTGGGACTCCTGCAGCTAGTTCCTTATTGGTGAGTGGGAAGTCCTTTCAGCAGCCTAACTCACGTGTTTCTGTTGCAAGTGGAATACAGCCTCCTGAGGGTGGAGTTGCAGCCTTTCTCCGCCTATGGCCAGCATTATTACTGCCCCGAGAGGCAGGCTGGGGAACAGGCCAAAGTGTGGGGCATGAAAGAAAAGATCAAGTTAGACAGGGTTCTTCCTAGAAAAAAGGATCCAGGAATACCAACCTCCAGGCCACAGGTCTACTTGTTTTTTTATCATGTGATTGTGATAAAAATAAGCGAAGATTCGGTCCTCAGAGTGAATGAACGAAGGAGAAAGAGACATAATGATCAGACGAGGTAACTAAAATGGAAGGTAGGTCCATTTTGAAAATGCAGAGGACGCTTAGGCCTCCTGAAGAGTCTCTTCCCTGCTCTGAGCTGGGCTCCTCTGGTGTGAAACGAAGGGGTTGGACGGGGAGCTCTCTCTAAGGTACTCTCCTGTTCTGAAATTCCTTTATTCCCCGTTTATTACACGCCTTTCCCTGGCGCCCTCTCCTGGTCACCATCTGGAACTGTTGGTTGGTGCCAGCCAGCCCCTAGCACAGTGCACAACAGTCTCCACCTCCAGCTCTCTCAGGCTTTTTCCTCCGGAGACCCTTGTGCATAACTGGTGGAAAGTGCGGCAAGGCTGAGCTAGTTCGTCTGCCAGGCACCAGAGCAAGCCTAGAGCAAAAACAGAAGGAAAAACAAATTTATTATCGGAGCCACAGAGCCTCGTGGATGGTCGGGTTTGGAGGAAGCATGGATATCGTTTATTTAATCCAGGGCCTCTAGATAAAGGGCAGGCATCAGAATCACCCACACTGACTTCTTCCAAACGTAGTCACCTCTGCAACACCCTTGCAGGTGTGAGATCGGCAGGAGTGGCTGAGGTCATGCGCCACTTAAATGAGTCCCCAGCTATTGGAGGGTGCAGCTCTGGTGCTCCTCAGTTTGTGGCTGGGAGACCAGAGTTCGCTGCAAGAGCAAGGGGCTTGCTCAGGGATGTGAAGCAAGTTAGTACTGGAAGCAGGAGGAAAATCCAGATCGTTTGCCCATCCGGCTGGCTTTCTTTCCACTGCTTCTTTTCCCACCCCCACTACCCCCACCCCTGCCACTTTTTCTTTTTTTCTTTTCTTTTTTTGCCTCTGCGACATCAGATACTCCCTGCCCTCATCTTGCTCAGAGCTATGTGCTCCACCATGACACCAGCCCCCAACCCCGCCATCTCCTCCATTCCTGTGGTCCCCAAAGGTCTCCCTGGTTCTCTTTGTTCAAGTTGGGTTTATTCTGGCTTAGGCTGTCATCTCCCGCTGCTAAGGCAGAAATCTGAGGCCTCTTCACCTGGAGGTAACTAAAAACACTGAAAACAGCTTCCTTTATTACCATTTGTGGGCTACTGCATTTTGAAAGAGAAAGCTACTGCATTTTGAAAGAGAAAGCATGCTCTAAGTCAAACAAATCACAATTAGTACCCCAGGTGGTAGCAAGCCCGTGAGAAGCTTGAGATGTACAGCATTCTCGTGTGCCTCATACTGCATGTAAGACCTCCAGCTCCAGCTGGGAAACCTAGATTTCCTGGGGCCATTGGACTGCTTTCTGGGCTGATAGTTACGGCAGGCTGTGCTGTACTCTTAACAAGCAAGGACTTGGGTATGACTTAGATCCTGTGGATAACTGCAGATCATAGATCTGACTTGCTTTTGAGAGCTGGCAAGGGGAGAGGTGGCTGCAACATTCCTCCCACTAGCAAGGAGTGTATATGACAGTATATCTGCTATGTGTTATGTTTTCATGGTCCTTTTTGTTGATCATGAAACAAATAAGATAATATTTATATTCACTCATTCAATCAATACTTATTGAGCACTTTAAATACTCTAAGATTTACACAGCAGGCAGATAATCAAGAAAGAAATATGTTCTCAATAAGCACACGGTCCACAGAAAAGAAAGATAAGCACATCACAGTACAACTCTTATAACAGATGGATGAGAAAAGTACATGGAGGCCAGGCGCAGTGGCTCATGCCTGTAATCTCAGCCCTTTGGGAGGCTGAGGCGGGAGGATCACCTGAGGTCAGGAGTTTCAAGACCAGCCTGGCCAACATGATGAAACCCTGTTTCTACTAAAAGTATAAAAAATTATCTGGGCATGATGGTGGGTGCCTGTAATCTAGCTACTTGGGAGCCAAGGCAGGAGAATTGCTTGAACATAGGAGACAGCTGTTACAGTGAGCTGAGATCATGCCATTGCACTCCAACCTGGGTGAGGACGGCGACACTCCAACTAAAAAAATAAAGAAAGAAAAGTGCATGGAGAGGTTGTGAATATCTCTGCATGAGAAGCTGGGGAAGGTTTCACAAAGGAGAGGACCTCAGAAGAATCTAGAACTACTGGGAGACTGAAAAGGAGGAGAGGATGTTAGCACAGAGCTAGCATGGGTGAGAGGCACAACCCAAGAAGAGGGAAGAGGAAGAAAGGTCCACAGATTCTGACATACCACCGTGTGTAGCAGAAGTTTTTTTCTGGCCAACCAAATGGAAATGAGGTGGGAAAGGCTGGATTGTGAAGGCCCTTGCATGTCACATGAACAGAGTTGGGGCTTTATCGTAAGGGCACTGTGGAACATTGAAGAGTTTTAAGCAGGGAAATGGCAGGATCCTGTGTTTCAGAAGTATAGCCCCGGGGACAATGTGGTTGCTACATTTAATCTTCCAATACTCATTACTCATTTATGTTTGGTTTGGGGATGACCTGGAAGGTCTCGTTTCTAACCCAGACTTGAAGAGAACTTGTGCATATCACATGCGGGCTGTCTGTGTTGGCCCTGAATGAATTTTCCGACGCTCTCTCTTCAGGAATACCACCCTCCACTCCCAGCAGGGCACAAGATAGAGGCAGTTGAAATAAGGCATGTTCCTAACACCTGTGTAGACTTTTAATCTCACAACATGTTCTGAAATACCTTAGATAGTGTAATATTCACAGACCCCTGACTGGTGTTATTATCCTCATCCTACAGATTAAGAAACTGAGTCTTACGTAAGGAAAATGGTTGTTGACACACCTGTAAATAGCAAAATGGAGAGCCAGCTCTAGATAGCTCACCTTGAGGCCAGGATTCCTTCCACTGCTGTGCTGCTTCTTGCAGCATCCCATTACCTCATCCCTGTCTCCTGAGCAGCCAATGACAGTCAGTGAGAAAGCCAGTTAATGGGAGAGTCAGGATTTGGAATTCCCTTGATATCTTCTTGAGTTTGTTTAGACTTAGTCCTTACTTAAGCTGTACTTAGAAATATGGCTCCAAAGCCCTGGGTTTGTTGGACTTGCATATTCTGACCCTCATTCTCTTTCTTTCAGCCGGAGAGGACTTCACCTCTGTGGTCTCCGAAATCATGATGTACATCCTTCTGGTCTTCCTCACCTTGTGGCTGCTCATCGAGATGATATATTGCTACAGAAAGGTCTCAAAGGCTGAAGAGGCAGCCCAAGAAAATGCGTAAGTCCAGAGATGCTAAAGTAATAATGAAAGCTAGCGCCTCCGGAATGCGTGCTCTCACGGGTGAGGCGCTAAGCAGTTTACATTCATCCTCCTCCGGAATGCGTGCTCTCACAGGTGAGGCGCTAAGCAGTTTACATTCATCCTCCTCCGGAATGCTTGCTCTCACAGGTGAGGTGCTAAGCAATTTACATTCATCCTCTGCCCTCTTCCTGATAGCTACTTAAGAGATAGGTACCATTATTATACCCATTTTACAGATGAGCACACTGAATTTGGGAGCGTTTGCTTAAGGCCATTGTAAGAAACAAAGCGATATTTGAATTCAGGCCCGCTGATGCTTGGCTAGCACGCTTAACCATTAAGGCAAAGACCATAAGCTGCCACCACAACCCATTAAAGTCACATTATTATGGTTGGGCATGGTGGCTCACGTCTGTAATCCCAGCACTTTAGGAGGTCGAGGTGGGTGGATCGCCTGAAGTCAGGAGTTATAGGCCAGCTTGGCCAACATGGTGAAGCCCTGTGTCTACTAAAATACAAAAATCAGCGGGGCATGGTGGCACACACCTGTAATCCCAGCAACTTGGGAGTCTGAGGCAGGAGAATTGCTTGAACCCAGGAGGCAGAGGTTGCAGTGAGCCGAGATCATGCCACTGCACTCCAGCCTGGGAGACAGAGCAAGACTCCATCTCAAAACAAACAAAAACAACAACAAAGTAACGTTATTATTGCTATTCCATAAATGCCAAAGCAGACTTAATATCAGCTTACAAGGCACACAGATAGTGTGAGGAAAGGCTGGGATGTGAACCCAGGTCTCTTTAGTCCTCATGTCCATGCTCTATCACATTTAACTGCTTATACCATGGAGCTCCTCAGGCCATCTGGGCACTGCCCTTTGCTGGCAAAGAAGCTCCAAGCAACATGTTCTTTCCTCTAGAACCTGGCAGTGATGGCATGTCCAGAGTGGGAACTCTAATCTGCGAATGTCCAGCCTGTACCTTAGCCATTTGCTCTGAGATTCTAATCCCTCAAGGGTGAGCACATTTGAGAAATGATGGCGTCCGTAAGAGCAAAGAGTCTAAGAGATCATGCTGGCTGGTTGTCTGGGGCTAGGAAAGGTAGAGAAAACCCATAGATTGCTGGCAACATTGCTGAGGCAAACCCTAAAAAGTCTTGACTCTTACCAGTTAGAAATATTTGATAAAGATCCCAGCACTTTGGGAGGCCGAGGCGGGTGGATCACGAGGTCAAGAGATCAAGACCATCCTGGTCAACATGGTGAAACCCCGTCTCTACTAAAAATACAAAAAATTAGCCGGGCATGGTGGCACGTGCCTGTAATCCCAGCTACTCAGGAGGCTGAGGCAGGAGAATTGCCTGAACCCAGGAGGCGGAGGTTGCGGTGAGCCTAGATCGCGCCATTGCACTCCACCCTGGGTAACGAGCAAAACTCTGTCTCAAAAAAAAAAAAGAAATGTTTGATAAAGAAAGTATCATTTTGCATGATACCTGTGATCTCAGGGAAGTAAAAGATTAAAACTGACTGGATATAAGGAGAGAAAGAAGTGCCATGCTGAGAAAGGCAGTAATTCCTGGTGACTTAGGTGCTTGGGATTTAGTGCTTGGATAGGAAGGACCTGCAATTGGGCCTGCACAAGAAACAGAGTGGAACCATGGTCCTCTGCAGAGCTAGAATCCTCAGAAGGTTATGACTCACATAAAGGGTAGACTAGAAAATAATCAGCCCGCCAACCTAGGGAAAAGCCAAGGAAACTTAGCCACCTTGGCCTAACTCCAAGTAGAAAAAGAAAGATTCTTGAGAGTTAGTAACTACAACCCTGCTCTCACAATGTTTGAGATTTAAATGTATACCACCCATATGACCCAGGATCCTCTAAGCTGAGAAATTCCGTAAAAATTAGTCCCCGGCCAGTGATACCTATGAATGTCTTATGGAAGAAAATGAAAACCATTCTGAAGGGACCCATTCTCAGCCAAGGCCTAATAGGAGTCCCCAGAGACAGCACTGCTGGATCTGATTCCACAGTCCAGTCCAAAACTAAAAGACACGGTGAAAAGCCATCCAGCAGGAGCAAGAGTGAATCCTAGGAGCTTTAGACACAAGAAGGGTCTCACCAAGTATAAAAAGTAAGCTTGCCTGGTGCAGTGGCTCAGACCTGTGATCCCAGCACTTTGGGAGGCAGAGGAGGGAGGATCACTTGAGTCCAGGAGTTTGAGACCAGCCTGGGCAACATGGTGAGGCCCCATCTCTTAAAAAAAATCAAAAAGTCAGCTTGATGCAGTGGCGCGTACCAGTGGTCTCAGCTACTCAGGAGGCTGAGGAGGGAGGATCGCTTGAACTCAGGAGTTTGAGGCCGTAGGGAGCCATTATTGTAGCACTGCCCTCCAACCTGGGTGACAGAGCGAGACCTGTCTCAGAAATAAATAAACAATAAAAATAAGTTTGTTTAAACAGTTAAACCAATAAAAGGAAAAAAGCATAAGAATAGGGTGAGTTTCTAAGATAAAAGAACAGGCAGATTCAATTGGAAAAAAACAAAAAACTCTGGAAGTGAATGGTTCTACAGAAGATTAGATGCTGATAATCAGAAGATAAATGTGAGAAAGCTCTGCAGACTGAAGCACAGAAATGGGAGAAGATGAGCCATGCAAAGAAATCTGAAGGAAACAAATGGCAAGGTGCATTAGAATAGCACGGAGAATGGAGGAGAGACAGTGATGAGAGACAGAGCGGCTGAGGGAGGGATGACGCTTCAGATTCCAGAAGCATAATATGCCCTGAGCAGAATAAATAAAATATAAATCTATACCTAAACTCCAAACATCTTTTTTTTGGGGGGGGGGATGGAGTCTCACTGTGTTGCCCAGGCTGGAGTGCAGTGGCACAATCTCAGCTCACTGCAATTTCTGCCTCCCGAGTTCAAGTGATTCTTCTGCCTCAGCTTTCCGAGTAGCTGGGACTACAGATGCGTGCCACCATGCCTGGCTAATTTTTGTATTTTTATTAGAGACAGGATTTCACCATATTGGACAAGATGTTCTCAAACTCCTGACTTTGTAATCCACCCACCTCAGCCTCCCAAAGTGCTGGGATTACAGGCCTGAACCACTGTGCCCAGAAAACACCAAGCATATTCAAAGTAATAAACGGCAGCTACTAAGATAGCCTACGGCAAATATCATCTATGTGTTGAAACCTCAAATTCCTGTAATATCAGAAACATATCAAGGATACTACTTCTCCCTGTTTCTATCAATATTGTATTGGAGATCCTAGGTGAAGACCAAATAAATACCAAAAAGAAAAAGACTTGGAAAAGAAGAAACTAAATTATCATTATTTATACCTATTATTTACATAAGATGCCAAAGAGAATCTATAAAAATGCCATTAGGACTAGAAAGAATATTCCACAAAATTGTTGATACAAATCAAAATATAAAAATCACCTATATTCTAGCAAGAAATTTAGTAACATATTTAAATATTTAAAATATTAAAATGCTTTTAAAGTTACAATAGCAACAGGTACTCTCCAGTTCCTGGGATAAATCTGACAAAAATGTATAAAACATTTAAAGAAAAAGTCACAAATGTTTACTGAAAGACTTTAAACTTAACTAGATGGAGAATAAAACCTCATTATTGTAAACTATTTTCTCCCAGATTAATCTTCAAATTCAATGAAATTCCAATCCAAATGCCCATTAGATTTCTCAAAGAACTTAATAAGCTGATCTTAAAAGTCACATGGACGGTTAAGTGGCCAAAAATAGTCTAAACCAAGGGACAGCCAGAAAATAAATGTTTTAGGCTTTGCTGGCTCCATAGGTTTCTGTCATATGTTGTTCTTCTGTTTGTTTGCAAATAACCACCCTTAGCTCTTAGGCCATAGTTTGCCCACCCTTGGTCTAAACCATTTCAAAGAAAAAGCAGTAAATTTGCAAGAGGTTGGTAGGATTTGTCTTATCAGAGCTGAAGGTTTCTTACAGAGCTACCAGAATACAGTTTGTGGTACTGCATAGGCATACAAAATGGACAAACAAAACAAAAGGCCCCAGTCTGGTGAGTGCATGTAGGAAAGCCTGATATGTGACAGAGGTGACATTATAATCATCGAAGGAATAATGAACTGCCCACTAAGTGGTCCAGGGAAAATTCCTAATCCACATAGAAACAAACAAAACAAAAGGCCCCAGTCTGGTGAGTGCATGTAGGAAAGCCTGATATGTAACAGAGGTGACATTATAATCATCGAAGGAATAATGAACTGCCCACTAAGTGGTCCAGGGAAAATTCCTAATCCACATAGAAACAAACAAAGAAAAACAAAAAACAAAATCAGATTCCCCAGCTCTCATACTAAGCCAAAATAAACTGTGAGTGGATTTAAATACAAAGTAAAACGCCAAGCTTGAAAATTCCATTAAGGGAATGTAAGATAATATATCTCCTTAGAATAGAGAGGATTTCCCAAACAAAACACAAAAGGCACACATCAAAGAGGAAAAATAATTTTGATTACATTATACATAAAAAATCAACTGTTCATTAGAAAACTCCATAAGCAAAATTCATAGACAAGAGACTGGGAGAAATTGTCAAGACATGAAACCATCAAAGAAAAATCAATTAGAAAAAGACAAAGATCTCAGAAGAACTAGAAAGCAAATAAAGAGTCAGACAGCTGTCAGACCAACATTTCATTTTATTTTATTATTTTATTTTATTTTTGAGACAGGGTCTCACTGTTGCCAGGCTGGAGGGCAGTAGTGCAGTCACGGCCTCAACCTTTCAGGCTCAGATGATCCTCCCACATTAGCCTCCCAAGTAGCTGGGACTAGGCAGATGCCCCCGTGCCTGGCTAATTTTTTGTATTTTTTGTAGAGACAGGGTTTAGCCATGTTGCCCAGGCTGGTCTTGAACTTATGGGCTTAAGCAATTTTTCTGCCTTAGCCACTCAAGTGCCGGGATTAGAGGCATGAACCACCACCCTGGGCCAATTGGCCAACATTTTAATCTAACAAATGCTGAAGACAACATGGATAAAAGAGAATCTATACACTGCTGTTGGGTGTTCATATACATATATGCATGTGGGAAATGATTATTTTAATCTGCAGAAAGGGTTGTGTTCCTCTTGGGAAACATGCAGAAGGAAATGCAGAGCCATTCTGTAGATCCTTGCTCCTGTACCCCGCTCCTTCCTCCCTCTTGTGTTCCCACCCCGGGTACTGAAGCTCTGACTCCCTTTCCCTGTGTCCTCTATAGGTCTGACTACCTTGCCATCCCATCCGAGAACAAGGAGAACTCTGCGGTACCAGTGGAGGAATAGAACAGGCGTGGTGTGACATGAGGTGACCCACAGGAACACAGGAGGGGAAGGCAGATGTGGATGGCAGGTTGTACAAGTGACTTTGTCACCCACAACTGAAGTGACTTTAAATTTGGTCCCTTAGGTCACTGTCTATCCTGCCCAGGGTCCCCACCCTCAGAGTAATTCTTTAAGTCACAAAGCTCTGTATAGTGTCAGCCCTTCAGAAGGTGAACTGCCTTGGCCTGCATGTCGAGGCAACCTGAACTTGCCCATGGTAACAGAGGCACAGGAAGTCTCCATCTCCCTTCTTTGGTCAAAGAATTTTTGGGCTGGGCTGGGCTGGGCTGGGCTAGAAATTCTCAGTGAGTTGTTTTATCTTTGGTAGGTGGCCTGAACACCTGAGGGACTGGACATCCCGTGTTCAGCAATGTCAACAGCATCAGGAGGGTGCCCCAAGGGCCTCATCGCTTTCCTTCATGCATCCATCCTTCTATTCATTCATCCATGCATCCACCTGCCTCTGAGCTTTCACCTCTGATTTTGTAATGCCATCAGACCCCTAGGCACCATAAGACTTTGCCAGAACCAAGAAGCCAACATTTCTTCATAGACTCAACCTCACCCTGTCGTAGTTTTCCAACAAGACACTCCAAAGCCAACTGGATTTCTCCCCTGTGCTCCAAATGACTTTGTACAAGTGCTGGTGTCAGCACCTCCCTCTGCCCTTAACTGGCTGGAACTGGTTCATTCTCCATTACTGCAAGAGAATGGATGTCTTAATAGAAGGAAGCAGGTGTGATTAGTTCAGGTTAAAGCAAAAGTACGTCGTGAACTTGGATTCCTTGAAGTCAGTTTTTCCAAGTTCATGGCCCACTTTGTTACAGCATCAGAGCGAAGCATGCCCCTCTAGGTTCTCCAGTGACAGATCCTGAAGCGTGGACTAGCATGCTCTCTGGAGCTTAGCACTCCAGGGCTAGATCCTGATGGGTCTCTAAGGTCCCTCCAAGAAGACAAGGACAGGAGGCTTGAGAAGGACCAATGGTAATTTAAGTGGCTCTTTAAAAGTCATGCAACATGAACACGTTCCTGATCCTATTGCGATAATATATGTATGCCCTCCCTATGAGCACACCACTTGGGCATTAGGACTGAAATTCTTAAGCTCTTCCTCTCAAAATTTCTGTGCATCAGTATTATTCCTCATTTTACATACAGGAGGCAACTAAGACTCCTACAGGACTCAATTGAGTAAGAGGCTTAAGAGGATAAACTGGAGCAGAAATAAGCCTTAGGTGCTGCCCAGTTTACACTTCCTGGGATGATTATTTTTGCGGGGAGGGGACAGAGTCTTGCTCCGTCACCTAGGCTGGAGTGCAGCGGTGCGATCTTGGCTCATTGCAACCTCTGCCTCTTGGGTTCAAGTGATTCTTGTGCCTCAGCCTCTCAAGTAGCTGGGCTAAATTTTGTATTTTTGGTACAGATGGGGTTTCGCTACGTTGGCCAGGCTGGTCTCGAACTCTGACCTCAAATGACCCACCCACCTCAACCTCTCAAAGTGCTGGGACTGGAGGCATGAGCCACGGCACCCAGTGGATAACTCTGTTTTTGAAGACTCTGACATTGAACTTGTCTATGGCAATGCTTCTTTCACAAGCACAGACTGGGCTGAGGTCAACTCAGATAGATTGAGGTTACTAGAAATTGGCCAAAAAAGCAGAGAGAAGAACATGAGGTAGACTTAAAGAAATTCCTTTATATAAAGATTTGTGAATCTGAAATATCCTCCAGAAGGAGAGAGTACCTGAGAATGATATTTAAACTAAGAAAAATGTTTAGTCTGAGACGGAAGATAAGCGAATGAGTGATGTGAGAGGTGAGGGATGGGTACGTGGCTTCCAAACACTTCACCTATGAATGCATAATTTTCAGATATTTTTCCTCTAGATTTTGAGGGAGCAGATAAACTGGAAACAATTTTAGTCAGTATCTCATGTTTCATTTTAATTGAGTGACAGGTCCAAGTGTGACATCCTTCAGCACCTAGGGACAAGAGAGGGGAAAGACGCTTTACGGAATGTAAGAAGATGAAGGTGACTGGGATTCAGTGAGAGGTCCTTCAGACCTGGGACCTCCCTTAATAGGGAAAGACCATATTCCATTGGTTTCGGGCTTTACCTTAAAAGCCCATTTTTTTTTTTTTTTCATTCTTCCATCCCTAGGAAAGAAAGCCCAACTTTCTTCTATCCCTAGGAAAACTAGCCTTTTTTTTTTTTTTTTTGCAGAGTCTCACTCTGTCTCCCAGGCTAGAGTGCAGTGGCGCAATCTCAGCTCACTGCAGCCTCAACTTCCCCAGGTTTAAGCCCCCCACCTCAGCCCCCCAGGTAACTGGGACTATAGGCATACACCACCACACTTGGCTAATTTTTGTATTTTTTATAGAGACGGGGGTCTTGCCATGTTGCCCAGGCTGATCTTGAATTCCTGGGCTCAAGCAATCCACTAGCCTCAGCCTCCCAAAGTGCTGGGATTACAGGCGTAAGCCACTGTGCCCAGCCCAAAACCAGACCCTTAACACTAATGTGAGAGTCTGATTTTGTTGAAGAAAATATTTGCAATAAATTCAAGACTCTTCTAATTGGTAATTTTCCACACCATCTCTCTGAAATAGGGGAGAGAATATAGGCCTGTTTTTAACTTAATTAGGAAAACTGACCTGAGTTAGTGTGAATTTTTTCCAGTCCCATAGCTCAGATATCACAGCTTGCAGTACTGGCAAGATGCTTACCACCACTCCATTTTCCTCTGTGGTCCAAAAGCTCATGTATCTAAGTTGAACCAGGCAGTAGGCATGATTGCCTTTTTCTCTTCTTTTTAAAAAACCCAACTCGGATGCTGCTTGCGTGACCTTTAAGGAACCTATCACTCATTTATCCTTGACAGATTATCTCCCCTACTCTTTCTTTTCCTAACTTCTCCACTCTTCTCATTCTTGGCAATTTCATTAGAACTATATAGTTTACAAAGTATTCACTTAACTATTTTATTTCTTCTCTATACCTGGTCCTGTGAGGTCGATATTATTAATACTTACATTACAAAAGAAGAAACTGATGCTCTCTAAGTAGCTTTATTAAATTATAAGAAACCTAGCTGGTAGGTAGACGGCAAGAATCCAGATCTTCTGACTCCTTTTTCAGTTCTCCTTCCAGTTAGACCATAGCTTCTTCCTTTTCTTATTTCTTAGCTCCCATCTAACCGTTGCCTATCTTGCCTGTCCTAATGTTCTCCATCTTCTCTCACCCCTCATCCCACTCACTGCTTCTCTACCACCTTGCTTTTTGGTGGATGCCAGCAATGTGTTTTGAGAGTCAGTCCTATTTTGGTTCTCTTTCTAGTTGGTATGTACATCATTTCTCCTGAATTGCAATTAAACTCCCTCCTGGGAGACTTGATCATGACTAGAAATCTACAAGGTACTGTGATCACCAGCCTACTTCCATTCTCCACCGACCTCCCTGTCTCTTCCCGTAATCCTACAAAAGACCCAGACTAGATATGTGTTTCTCTGGAAGCTTTATCTGGCATGATGTTGCTTATTAAAGGGCTTAGAAGAGTTCTCAAGGGCTATTATCACTTTAGAAACCCCATCTGTTGTCTTGGTGCTGGATATTTCCCATGTGTCATCCTCAATAACACAATTCACTAACAGCCAAGCTTGGCTCAGTCCGATTTTCCCGTTCTTACTGCTTCACAGCCATGAAGGTGATTGCTCGATCCAGTTGGCTCCGAGAGCACCTTTCCCTGCTGACCTTCACTGTCACCTCATTCTTGTATCAGAGCCCTAACCCCAGACACTCCGTGCCTTTCCCTACCCCAGCCTTGACTGTCACCACTTGTTTAACAGCAAGCTCCTTTAGGTTCTGCATTCCCAAACACCCACACACCCAGACTCCCTTCTGAGTTTCAGGTTTCTCCTTAGGTGTCCAACTAGAAATATTACTAGGAAGGTTACTTTTCAAAGCAAGGATATGCTGCGAAGTGTGTAGAGCAGTGCATGTTGAAGAGACAGCAGCTTCCTCCTCTCCTCCCAAAATTATTGGATCAAGAAAGAAATTCTACTCATCTCAGAGGGAAAAGGCTGTGCAATTGCATCTTTGTAGGAAGAAAATGAAGCAAGAGCTAGACACCCTTCAGAATATATCTTAGTTTCCCCTTTCCCAGTTTAACATGAAAACGAAAACAAAAAAAAAGAAGCCTTCCTCTCACCTCATTTTGTAATGAAAAATCCCCAATCCAGTGAACTCACCTAGTCACTGCAAATGTATCTGAATAGTGCTTGGTGTGCTCGCCAACCTGATCATCCACTTGCTGTACTAACATCTTTTAGCCACTAACCACTCTGTCAAGTGCTAGTTTAGACCGTTAGTGTGTCATGCGGTCATAGATTTGAAAACCAGCATCATCCAAACCTTACTTAATCTCTAAGATCTCAGCTGGTGGACAGCTCACGATTAGCTCAGCCCAATTCCTCCCCCTTAGTTGAGTTTGCAGCAGGACGCAGGAGATAATCACTTCCAAGCAAGTCTGATTTCTACATCAAACTCGGCCTCCATCCCAGGCCAGCTAACCCTCAGAGCCAGCAATGCTCTATGCTTCCTCCCTGTGTCTGCTTGGTAAGAGCTTCCTCAGCTGGGCAGTGTGTGTGATGGAGAGGGAGGCCGCTGAACGCTGAGTGCTTCCAGGCTTGTGAACCCCCATCGAACACAATCTGCAAATTCTTAGTCTTGCAACAGATGGAACTTTTTCCATGTTATCATCTTCATATTGCCTTTTCTTGATTTTCCACAGCCAATCTTTTTCCAAACTCGAGAAATGTTCCTGACCATCTAATCCGTCAACAATGTAATGCCTGTATGTGGTGTTTTTCAGTAAACTCCTTGTTCACGTCAATAAAGTATCCATAAAAACCACTCTCTTTGGTTTTGACCTACTTACTAAGTGTGTTTGCCCCATGGAATATGGCTTCCCCCAGCTCCTCAGCCTGCTTCAAATTCCTGTACCCAATCTGTGGGTAAGCATGAGAATGAAAATCATGTAATAGCCTCGCGGTAAACACACACTAAATGTGTGATCTAGCCTCTCCGCTAGCCCTTCTACCCAACATGAAGGAATACAAGAGTCACTTGCTTCCTTGCCTGGCATCAAGTAAGTTTCCTAACCAGATGGCGAGCAGCTCCTTGCAAGGCCAAGGCAGACCTAATGAAGGGAAGAGCCAACCTGGCTCTCAGCTCCACCAGTTTAGGACACATGAAAGAAGGCAAAGCAGTCTCTCAACAACCATCTTCCTAGAAGTGTTAAGGCCCAAAGGGGGAAAAGTTCAACAAGAAACCATCGTTGGGATTCACAGTCCACCACAATCTCCTGCAACTTATAAGATTAAAAATCATTCCCAACACTTTGGTAGGCTGAGGCGGAAGGATCACTTGAGGCCAAGAGTCTGAGACAAGCCTGGGCAACATAGTGAGACCCCATCTCTAAAAAAAAAGTGCCCTCGCATGATGGTGTGTGCCTGTAACCCCAACTATTCGGGGGGCTGAAGTGGGAGGCACACGAGCTCAGGAGATCAAGGCTGAAGCCTGGGTGACAGTGAGACCATCTCAAATATATATATCTATTTATATTTATATGTATGTATTTATCTATATTTTAGAATACCAGCTGTATACTAAGAACTATGTGTTTTTTAAGTGTATTATCTCTGAAACACTGAGACTTGGATTGATAGATGGGGCGGAAGGTCACAAAGTTGGTAAAGACTCAGATCTGACTCTAAAACTTATCCATTCCAGTTGATCAGGCGGCCTCCGTCCCGTGAGAAGGTGGATGGCTATGTGCGTGTGTGTGTGTGTGTGTGTGTGTGTGTGTGTGTGTGTGTGTGTATACAAGCATGCCTACATACATGCCTTCAGGTCTTGCTGTGACCCTATCTGGGACGACCAGAAACATCCCAGGTGATGAGCACTCATAAATCAAGCAATAAACACACACACCATTTATTTTTGTAGTTCAATACTTTTTCTTTTTAATTCATACTGTACTTCCATGGCTCTAGCTACTTTACATTAAGATTTGGCTGGGCAGCCTTGTGTGTTTCTAGGTACTAGCAGTAAGTGTTCCAACCTTGCGCACAGCGCCAGGCAAAGTACAGTTATAGATCCAAATACACACGGGCAGACAACTCAACTGCAGTCGACCTGCGTTCTTTCCCATAGATGGCCCAGTGCAGATGCTGGGGCTGCACCCTCTGCCTCACCCTACTCCACCCCATGTCAGGATTATCCAGGGGCCACTATGGCCTCTGACCCATCCCTCCCCACCTTGGAGTCTAGGTTGAGTTGGGGGAAAAAGCACCATGGGTTTGGGAAGATGGTCTGGTCCATGCAGAGAGTAGTCTGGCCCTTGAGAGCAGGGGAGGAAAATGTGGGGAGCCACAAGCGATTGTTGGCAAAAATGGCTGCTTTGACTATGCAATCTCAGCACATGGCATCCAAGCCCCAGGCCGATGCCCAGACAGAGCCAGCTGCCTTGCCTGGAGCAGAGGCCACCATTTTGCTTCTGCAATATCTTATTGTACTGAGAGAAGCAAGGAGGGCTGAAAATGACAATGTTCTTTAAGCCTTCAGAAGTTGGGGAGATCGTCCAGCATCAGCTCCTCTTGGCAGGCAAGGTGCTGCTCATCAGCAGCCAAGACTCCAGTCCGGGCCCCGAGGTCTGCTGAGGATCTCGAGTCACAAGACCCTGGAGCTGTCGCACAGAACATCAAAACAGGGATCTGGCTGGGCCCTTCACAGCCATGACCAGAGCAGAAGTGAGGTTAAAAGGCTGGGCAGAGAGGTGGGAAGGGAGCTCTCAAAACCGTGTGCAAATCCCTGCTCTGCACCATGGAAGCAAGCAGAGACCTTAAAAGATGGCCTTCCAAGAAAATGCTCCTCTCAGACCCAAAATGCATCTTCTGGAAGAAAACAGGTAGAGGGGATTGAGGCCAACATGTTGGAGGTTGGGGGAATAAAAATCAAGGATGTCAAGCAGTGAATGGGATGATTGTCCCATAGCCTAGAGACAAGTGGTGAGGATGGGGAGAGTCAGGAAGGGTCCCTGGAGATTCCTCCTGGAGAAGGCAGGCAGGGTATGAGGTGTAGGGAGACCAGAGCCCTGCCATCTGGGGGAAGGGAGAAGAGTGCTATTTCTCCTGAGGGCAGTAGGAGAGAAGGGCTGGCTTTGGCTGCCCTGCAGAGCTTAAAGAAGTGGCATGGTATGGCACAGAAAGTACCCTTCTGGGATGACAAGCATCCGGAAAGATACTTCCCTTAGTCCTTTCTCCAGGACCTCATCCTGGAACTGTAATAGGTATAGTTCAAGTTTGGGTGGGGGGCAGGGACACAGAGAGAATCCACTTCTCACAAAGCATTCCTCTTCATCTCTCCTGGTCCTCCCCATGTCATTCCAGATTCCTAGTGTCAGTGCTCTAAGGCAACCCAAGGGTTTTAGCCAAAGCTTCATACTGAATCCAAACCCCATCTAGACAAAAGAGAAGTGCTACAACCAGAAATAGCTTCTCTCCACTGCTTCTTCTACCAATAAGGATGAAGGATAGATAGATGAAAGGCTTCACAGAGCCTAGAGACAGAAGATGGGCTCCATCGGAAAGAATGTTCTCCCAAGAAAGTCCAAAGGAAGATCCCTTTGCAAGCTAGGCCAAAGAAGGCAGAAACCCTTCCAGGTGAACACTGAGCAATACATCAAGCTTGATCTCTCTCTCTCCGCACCACTGGGCCTCCCCAGCCCTCCTAGCCACTTAAAGAATAAACTTTAACGCAGATACTGCCCCACCACGCCTCTAAATACAGGGAAGCTTCAGCTTCTGGGCTTGTTCCCTCCTGGAAGAGCAACTGACAAAGTCCACCCAACCTTCCCAACCTCTGGCCTACCCCACAAGATGATGTCAAAGCTAGAACCTACCTTAAAGATGATCTAGCCCAACTCCTTCCTGTGACAGGAGGATACTGAAGCTCAAAGAAGGGGACTGACTTGCCCAAAGCCACAGAGCTTCCTCAATGGAAGAGTCAGAACCCAGGCCCAGGTCTCCCAACTGTCAGTGCAGTGCTCTTACACAGAGTTTCATGCAGCTGATCTTGCTGGCCTGAGATGTAATCCTCTTGTCTCCAGAGAGGTGGATGACCAGGCTTGTCAATTCTTTCACAGTAAGATGTAATGAAACTTTACATCCTATAGCTGTTCTTCACCTGGTTCAAAACTGCAAATTCTTCAAAATTGAGTATAAATTCTCAAACATTTTACCACTTAAATCATTACAGAAAGACTTCTGTGTGTCCCCAGTAAATAAAAACCAAAAAAAAGCACTGGCTGGAAGAAATTACATAAGAAGTAGTGATTCTGATGCTCTTGCAGACATCAACCAGCCAGGCTACTGGCCAGGAATACAATGCTATTTATTTGTTTCACTTATCTGCAAGGTTGAGTTAACATCTCTTTCACAAGTTATTGACTAAGGGGAAAGAGATTTTGTTTGGGAACAAATAGAGTTGTTGGTTTTCTTCTGGTGTGATAGTCAAAAAATTATTAGAACAGAGAGAGCCCACAAGAAATCCATGATTCTTAAAGGCCATTCCCTATATGCACACATTGTCTACTGGGTTCAAATCACTAAAAAACCAGGAGGGTTCTTCTGACATACTCAGTACCGCCTTCTCTGCCACCTCCTCCTCCTAAGAATAGTTTTGAGAGGTAAAGCAGACACAAAACAACTCCCTGTGGCCACGTCTGCTCTGTCACTCGACTCCCAGCAGAGAACTCTTTTTAAGTCATCCTGAAGGTCCCACCACGGCACCTTTAATAATTAAATATCTTCAGAACAATTACATATGAAAGAAATTCAAAAATTTACAATGTTTGCATTCAAAATTTTCCTGGGAGTAGTTTTGGCTTCTGGCTGCGTCCAGGGGGAGACTTCCAGCAATCTGTACCATGCCTCCTTCTTTGGCTCAGGGCCCATGACCCTTGATCCCTTCCAGTGTCCCTTGCCCAAGGTCCTGGACAAGAACGAACAAGGATCCACTGGCTGGTGGGCATATGTACTCTTCACAGGGATTATATGAAACTGCATTTCCTCCCATCTCCTCCTCTGGGGGAGGAATATCTACTCTAGCTGATGACCTGGAGCCTTCTCATCCTCCTCCCTTGGAGGATGATCTGGGCTTGGACCTTTCTGTATTCTGATCCTGCCCTTAGAGAAATACCAAGGCCTTATTCTCACATGGAAAAGTCAAAAACTGTCATTGCCAAAGGGAGTCAAAGGCCATTCTAAGAGAAAAATACAACTTTATCTTTGGGGGTAAATGAGTGATAAAATCATTTGTCCTTTGGGCTGATGTCCTAGGACCTCTGGGACATCTGGGGCTCCTTCTGCACCTGCATTAAGAAGCCCAGGAGAAGAACAAGCAAGCCTGAAGAGCTCTTCATGCCAAACTGGCTGTGACTGTTTCATGCAACTCCACAAGCTCTGCCTGGAGCTGGTGGGACTCTTTCGGTCATGTTATGAAGAAATAGTATTTAGTGTATGAGGGATGATGAGTGTGCCCATAGGGCCCTGTAAATTCAGATAAATGCATGGCGCTGCTGGGCCAGTGTTGAAAAGGCCCTGAATGTCTCACTCTTTAGAGCTAATGTCTTCTACTCTTTAATGATCTTACACCTCTCTGGGGCCAGAGACCAGAGCAGGATTTGTACTCCATCCCCTGCCAGAATCCCCATTCCCAAGTCTGAGAAACTCAGGATTTGGAATGGCTCCCTGGTGACATAGATTTCACTTGGCCTTTTCCTGCCCAAACACACGCACCTTTGCCAAGTCCTTCCAATGGCTTAGATGCTTTTTCCACATGCAAACTGTCTCAGACAACTGTCTCCATTGGCTAATGCTGGTTTGTTCCAAGAACAAATGATGCTGGCTACCCATTCTGGTGCTCACCACTCACAGTGTTCTGTGGGTAGACCCTGAACCCTGGATGTGGTGAGGGCTTTCCCTCCCTCTTTCAAATCCTGGAGGGCCCAGCACACCCTGACTCATCCTGGAAATCACACTGACAGCTCCAAGCTAAGGCTGCAGAGCCATAGACCTGACTTGCACTAAAAGAGGTTTAACAAGGTCGAAAATGCTCCACCCTGGCTAATAAACAATGTGCTCTTAGGGCACAGAGAAACAATAGGAATTTAGGCACTAAAAAGTGACACTTTGCCCAGATCCAGCCTGGGAGAAGACCAGAGAGAAAGCGGGTGGGGTTAGAAATTCCCAGCCCTTACTGGGTCCACACCCTACACAGGTCGGAGGAAGGTGCAGGGGTGACGGAGGAGAGTATCCTTCAGAACACGAGTCTCGGGAGCCTGCCACCCCATAATGCAGCCTTCCTAGCTTTCCAAGCATCCTCTCCACCTGATGCTCAGTACAGTCTAGATCAAGTGGGTGGCCAACCCTGTGAGTTTAGATTGGGCTCCCTTGATGCTTCTGTGTTCCCAAGAGAACGCCTGGGGAAGCCTGGGGTAGGGAAGAAAAGATTCTCTTTTATTTTGGAAACAAATCAAAAGGGGATTAGGGAATGAAGCACCTTAAGCAATGCCCACTTGAGACTTCTTTTTGACATCCTAAGGTCTTCACGGGCATAACTTTGGCTCAACAACATTTCCTTTCTAAGAGCCAAGAATGGCCAGCAAGGGAAGGGGTGGGGAACAGAGGGTGGGAGGAGGGAGATCAGGGGAGGTCAGTGCTGAGAGGCGGTTCCTGCCCTCCTCAGCCACTCCACCATAGGAAAACGCTGCTCCGGCCAGCACAGGGGGCGGGAGGTCCCGCTCCTTCTCCCTGGTACATAGGCATTATCTCTGTTTTAAAATCTGTATATAATATATATATTTATATTCTGTATATATATATATTTATATATATATATTTATATGGTCTATGTACATGTATTGCACAGGCCTCTTGCAGTCACCCTGTTCCTGCCTTGTCAATGATAGCGATTCCTCTTTTCTTCACTTTCCGACGTGTAGTCACGGGACCTGATGCCGTTCTGAAGGTTGATGAGCGAGTCCTTCATCTGCAAGACAGAAAACCCCACCCCAGGCCTGGGTTTGTGCTTTCAGTGGGATTCTTGACCTAGCAGCCCTCTCCCCACACTCACCTAGAGCAGGCCTCCAACTATGCCGTGCAGCTGACAAGAGTCAGGCACCTAAAGCAAGGGTGGTTCTCAGGGCAGTTTCAAACAGAAAGGGGACAGTCATGCCGGGCGCCATGACTCCCACCTGTAATCCCAGCACTTTGGGAGGCGGAGGTGGGAGGATTGCTTGAGGCCAGGAGTTTCAGACCAACCTGGGCAACATAGAGAGATGCATCTCTATAAAGAATCTAAAAATTAGCCAGGCCTTGTGATGTGCACCTGTAGTCCTAACTACTTGGGAGACTGGGGTGGAAAGATGGCTTGAACCTGGGAGTTTGAGACTGCAGTGAACTGTGACTGTACCACTGCACTCCAGCCTGGGCAAGACCCTGTCTCCTGGGCAAGAAAGAGAGAGAGGGAAAGGGAGATGGAGAGAGAAAGAAAAGAAAAAAATGAGAGGAAAAAAGAAAGAAAGGAGACAGACAATCGAGCATGGGTAAGCCCTTGGGTAGGGCTTACTGGGTCTCAGTGCTGAATCAAGAACTCTCTCGAAGCATTCAGCCGCTACAAAGAGCCTCTCAGGCTGCCACTGACTTAATCCACTTGTTTCATCCGGTTTCTCTGTTGATCCTTAATACACCACATGCCTGTCTTTGTACATTTAGCCACACTGTTCGCCCTGCCTGGGAATCTTTGCACTCTTGCCTATTCCAATCTCACTCATCTGCTAAGGCTCAGAACAAACCCAGACTCTCTCCAGCTCCCAGTCATCCCTCTCCCTTGTGGTCGCTCACACAGCACACACTCGGGCTCTGGACTGCAGTCATCTTTCATTGCTAGGTTTCATGTTTGCTGGGACTAGAACAGCGTCTAATCCTTCCCTTGTACACCCGGGGGCACCAGGCAGAAAAGTGAGTAGGTTCCTAGTTGGTACCCATATCAGTAAATTAACATTTTTAGGTCATAGGTTGCAGTCTAAATGGAAGACTAGAATGGAGCCCAGCGGAATTCAAAAATGGTCCGTCATACCACCACACAGTTAAATACTCACATATTTAAATACTGTCTCTGTAACTCCTCTGTTACAACATAAGCCAACATTTCTGGGGTCAATGGTTATGGATTTGGGAAAAGTCTGGTCTCTCTGCTGAATCTACCACTTTCTTCTCTCTGGTTATTTTATATCTTCTGCTCAAGACAGAGGAGGGGCTCATTCTGTTCTTTTACAATTTACTTTTAAAGGGTTTGAAACAAAACAACTTTCTTAATACTTATAGGGTCCACTAAGCTATAAATCTGACAGCCCCAAACCCTCAAGTTAAGGGGGCCCATTCTGAAAGAGGGTTCTAGAGATGGAAGAGATCTCTGGGTCATCCAGTCCAACTGCCCCAATTTAATTTATAAGTTCTTTATCCGCCATCATCTGGTCGCCCCTTGAGCACTTCCAATGTTGGAATCTCAGTTCTCTACAGTAGCCTGTTCTGCTGCTGGACAGCATTAACCACAAGTTGTCTGCATTTGATGACTTTTAAAAAAATTACTTTCTTAAACTTCTAGCCCCAGTTCAGTGCTCTGGACTTTTCCAGTAAAACTCGACACTTGTCGGCCTGGTTTTCTGAAGACCACCCTGTTCTCCTCCCCCCACATTCCCTTCTCCTGGGTTTGCCTTCAATTCCATCAACCCTTCTTGAAATGACAGGGTTTCCAAACTACTCACTATGCTTTTTGTCCTCTTTTGGTTAAAAATAATATGCCCTCCTTAAGTGCGGCAACAAAGCTAAACACATTCAACTGGGTCCTCATAGCTACATTAAGATTCTTTTCCCTTACTTTCTTTCTTTCTTTTTTTTTTTTTTGAGACAAAGTCTCACTCTGTTGTCCAGGCTGGAGGGCAGTGGCACAATCTCAGCTCACTGAAACCTCCACCTGCTGGGTTTAAGCAATTCTCCTGCCTCAGCTGCTCAAGTAGCTGGGATTATAGCCATGCACCACCATGCCTGGCTAATTTTTGTATTTTGAGTAGAGACAGGGCTTCTCCATGTTGGCCAGGCTGGTCTCAAACTCCTGACCTCAAGTGATTCTCTCTCCTCAGCCTCCCAAAGTGTTGGGATTACAGGTGTGAGCCACCACGCCAAGCCTCCTTTTTTTTTCCTTAGAGCTAAAATCAAACAATACAATGAAATAAAGTTTAATATTAATGAGCACTGCTCACATGCCATCAAATCCTGATGACAGTTCCGTGAAGCTACATCTACAATTTCTATTTCATATATGAAGAAACGGAAGCTCAAGGTCCCTTGCTGAGGGTCACAAAATTAGTTAATGGCAAGGCTGGGGTGCCATCTCAGCTCTGGCTGGTCACAAAATGTCAGAAAGACAACTCTTCATGGAGAGAAGCTGTTGCATAGCAAGGTAAATCCTGAGTCTAATATTTTCCTAATAATTCTCTTGCACAGCAAAGGCAGGTTCCCGCTCTCTAGGAAGCTGTGTGGAGGTACGTTTTATAAAATACTAAAATATCCTGGGGAAGTAGTAAGCTCCCTCCCCCAAGGAAACTAAATAATTATTGATTTTGCCTCAGGATGATTTCCCAAAATAGTTGGATCTAGCTTTGGGCGGGAGAATACAGGCGAACTGTACGACAAAGAGGATGCTATGGAAAGCAGACAAAGTGCAGTCACCCTCCCAGACCATCAGTGCAGTGCCACTGACTGTCAGAGGGGGGCGGTATACACCTGAAAACCTCAGACATGTCCTCTGGGAAGACAAATCTCTGTAAAAGGATTGCTGGGGCGGGGCGGGGCGGGGCGGGGGGCGGTGGTTCTCTGTTTAAATGCCTGTCAGATGGTTCTGTGTTACTAAAAAAATAAAATTAGTCCTCCTTCCATCTAACCCACAACTTTCCTGTTGCAAATTCAATGGGTCTTTATTGGTATAATTTTTTTTAGAATACACCTGCATTTCTAGCAGCCCCTTCAAGGATGGTTTCCCTTTTACAACAATGCATGGCCTGGAAGAAGAATGAATTGCAGGGAGAAGTCTGGAGGGTGGTGATAGAGACACGGATCTTTCTCAGAGCATAAGGGAAGGAGTCCCCTCTCCCAAAGACCAAGGCAAGCAGAGAAGGTGGGGCATCTCACCTGGTCAAGGAGCATCACTGAGGATTTGATGATCTCCCTCCATTTTTGGAGCTCAGTATCGTGGTACTTTTGTTGGGACTCTAAGAGCTGGGCCCATTCTGTCTGAGACTGGGGTAACCTGTAGGGTAGAAGAAGGGGTACCCCAGCAGCTGGAGTTATGCTCAGCGAACTGTCCTGTGCTCCCAGACCCCTAAAGGACAAAGAGTCACATCAGAGTGCTTTGTCCTCTGCTCACTGGCCCTGGTTCCCCTATGCCCCAGATCAGAAGTGGGCTGAAGCTATAGGGACAGATTCTGAGTTTCTCCGTGGGCTCTTCCCAGAGGGCTATCCCTTGGGCAAGGGTAGTGAGGCAGTCCCAATGGCACTGGGTGGGATGGGGGTGGAGGTGAGGGGATCAGGCCAGGATTACCTTTCCTGGAGCCTTAGACCCTGCCAGGCAGTGAGGGTCTGTGTGGTATATTCCAACATCCAGAGTTTGTAGAAGAGCATCATGTTAAGGATGACCAGCAGCACCAGACTAGGAAGGAGACATGGGCAAGAAAAGCAACAGCAGTGAGATGTTGTGACAAAACGGAACATCCCCCATCCCAGAGGCTGCTGTCCCTGACCGGTGGGCCATCCAAAGCATTGCAGTGAGTGAGTGAGCCAGAGGCACGCGGCAAGGGGGAGAGAGAGAAGCAGCCTAATCTGGAAGGGCCAGGATACAGCAGGAGAGCCATGGAGAGGGGCATGGGATGAAGGCACTAGAAAGGAGAGATGCACAGGTACCCAGAACCTGGGCACCTGGGGGAAGAGAGGTAAGGTGGAAAGGAAAAGAGATGAGGGGGTAAAACAGTAATCATAGAGCCAGTACCTGAAACAGATCCTAATGGGAGCAAGGAAGAAAAATGGGGAGGAGGCAGAGGTTAGAAAAGGCGAGTGTGGGGAAAGGGAAAACTGCACTGAAAATCAAGCTGGGAGCAAGTGAGAGTATATGAGAAAAAAATACTAGAAGCAAAGACACAACAGATGAGGAGACCCAGCAAGAACAGGGCATGAGAAAGCAACAAGGGACAGATTCTTAGTACTTCATGGGAGCTAAACTGAGAAAAGATTCCCCCCACCAACCCAAACTTAGGACATAACTGAAGGGTGAGACTGAAGGAGGAATTCCAGTGGGTCCCTATCTCTGCCCATGATGCTGCTTACAGATGTTAGCAGAACTTCCCGCAAGCTGCCTCAACCTCATACCACCTGGCAGAGGTCATGGAGACAGGCTGAGGTTTCCCAGAGTCTGGGTCAGACTTGGTGAGAGATGGGGGAGGCAAGGATCATCCAGGGGCTGGAGGGGCTATGAGGAATGAGAAGTCACAGAGAGACTGCAGAAATTCCCTCCTCTCAGCCGCACTGGCTGCCTAACCATCATTGTATAACAAGCTCATAGGATGGAGAGATGAGGATATCATCGTGGGTAGAGAGGATCCAGAGACACACAAAACTGGATGCAAACCCTGGCTCATCACTTAAAAACCTCTTAACTTTTGATTAAGGTTCCTAGCTTCTCCGACAGAGGGACAATAATACCTACTCTACTGGGGCTGTTCTGTAGATGAAAGGGCATATATTGTAAAATATCCAGGCACACCATAGGCCCTATACAAAGGGTAGCTCTTATCATTAACAGAGAAGATGTAGACACACATAAGAAGAGAGAAGATGACAAAAAACATGAGAAGATAGGCTGGGCACAGTGGCCCACGCCTGTAATCCCAGTACTTTGGGAGGCTGAGGTTGGTGGATTGCTTAAGCTGGGGAGTTCAAACCCAGCATGGGCAACATAGCAAAACCCCTTCTCTACAAAAAAAGTTTTTTTAAATTAGTTGGGTATGGTGACATGCACTTGTGGTCCCAGCTACTAGGGAAGCCGAGGCAGGAGGATTGCCTTAGCCTGGGAGGTGGAGGTTAAAGTGAGCTGAGATCGTGCTACTGCATTCCGGACTGGGAGACAGTGAGACCCTGTCTCCAAAAAAAAAAAAAAAAAAAAGAGATAAACAGAGTTGGATAAAAGACTAGCAAAAAAAAAAAAAAGCGAAGCTTATGTTATGCCTTAGGCTTTTCAAAGTGTGTGCCTGTGCAAGTGGTACTGTTTCTCATCTGTGCTTCTGGCACTGTGGAAGGTAGTCTTCCTTAAACTGACAAATTTTGGGGGCTACTCAGCTGTGTTCTCAGCCCTCTCTGAGTTGTCTGCAAGGCCTTTAAAAACTTTTCTGTTGAATTTCAATGACACGGCCTTTAATTTTATCAGCACACACTGGGTCATCTGAACACCCACCTCTTCAGCACATCCTGCTCCTGATCTTGGTGCCTGCATTTGGGTTTATGTTTGCTATCCTGTCTGTGCTAAGTGAAGGTCAGGGGATACCCCTGTGTGCTGGCTGAGTGAAGGCTGTACGGCTGTCTAAACAGAGAAAGGAGGTGGCTGAGTCACACTGGAGCAGGCCTGTGGGGACAGGAGCCTGCCAAACACAGGGCAAGCTATGCTGTGTCAGCCCATCCCACGTGCAGGCTGTCTGCAGACACTTGGCCTGGATCCTGTCACACTGAATTAGAAAGTCTGATCATTCTAAACTTAACAAAACCAAACAGTTAAACATGCTATACAATTTGTTTAGGGGTGCAGGCCTTCTCTACTTAAAGTCAAAATGCAGACAGAGCTTTAAACACAGAACTAACCTGAGGTTACAGTGCTCTAGCAACCGAAATCCAATACAAGAAAGAGATTTAACTTAACAGAACAATGGCATGAAGCACATTAGATGGACGTTGCAAAGTGTGACTTTTACTAGTTTTACAGTTGCTTTTGTTTTTAATTTTGTGATAATGTCTTCATTTCTTATGCTGTCATAAGAAGAATATTGCATCCACTTTTACGTGACATATTAAAGTTGGTGAGAGTCCACTGTACGTTCCTCGTGACTTCCCATCCTTTAAGTGGTCCCCAGGGTCGTCCCGGGCCTTGTCTTCTTTGTCACACTCTATACTCTCTATGGATGGTTTCATTCACACCATGGCTTTAGTGCTATAGATAACTAAGCAGTGACTGTAGCCTACACTTGTCACCTGAGCTCCAGAACCACATCGGCACATACCTGTCACCTCTTCCTGAATAACCTATGGCACCTCAGACATACCTGGAACTGTTAACATCTTCTCTGGAAATGCTTTGCTCAATTCCAGATTTCTGTAATGACATGACCATTTGCGGTCCCTTGAATCAGTAGTTCATCATCCTTCCCTACATAACCAGATAGGTGATGAGTCTTTGCCTTCCAGGATCTCCCAGCTCCAGGCCTTCAGCCTGACAGCTGCTCTCACCTAGATCTCACAGCTCACCCTGACTGACCTCCCTTTGCTCCTTCAATCCACCCGATATTTTGTTGTCAGAGTGATTTTTCTCTTTAGTACAGATCTGACCATGTCACTACTGGGCTTCCTTCAGAGTTCCCTGAGGGTGAGGCTGTGCTCTGCCTCTGCCTCCTGAGAATGCTTCAGTGAGGCCGGGGTCACAGAAACAAGACTGAACTGGAAGCAAACTGGTGTACAGCGAACAGCAGTGTGCACTGTGCACGCATTTGGCCAGCTGCAGTGCTCCCACCCACCCATGCCCCACACTCTGGAAGCATACACCCATGGGACCATGCTGTGGGCTGAGCCAAGTGGAAGAGCTGTCCTTAGATGTCCTAGCTGCTCAAAATGGATAAAGCCCTGGGCAGGCGGCGGCATGGCCCCGTTCCTCAGATAGCTAACTGTGTTCTTCCATCCTACGTCTTCATTTCTTTTGTCTTTATTTTTCCCTAGGACAGCATCTTTCTATGCAAGTTACTGAGCCTGCTGTTTTATCATGTCATAGCAATTATTATAAACAGTCTACATTAAAATAAGCACCCACTTTTTCTGTATTGTAGGCATTGATTTTGTCTGGCTACCCTGCCAATGTGTGGGCTCCGTGAGTGCACAGTTCCAGTGCCTGGCACAGAGCAGATGCCCAGAACATCTAATGAACAAATGGACTCCTAAAATGCCCTGTAGCATCTCTCTGTTAGCATTTCACCATCTGTGCAGGAGTTTTGAATGTTCTGTCTCTCTCACCCACTTGAAACTGAATCCCTGAAGGGTATGGATGCTGCATGAAGCATTTCCTTTTGAAAGCCTAGCATACAGTAAATGCTGAACAAAGCAGAGAAAAAGAAGCAAAGAGGTAAGCAGCAGGCAGAGAAACCAGTCCAGACAGAGAAGACTAGAGGACAAAGGAGGAAACAGGGAAAACAGCAAGGGTGCTCAGATCCTTCAAGAGACGAGGGCTAAGGTACCAGGCTAGAAAGGGAAGGTGGTGAGGGCAGGGGAGGAGAACCTGGAGTCCCTTACACACAGCTGATAACCAGCAGCAGCTTGGACACGCTCTGCAGGTGGAAACCATTGGGAGTGTCCTCAGGGATATGTCGCGTCTGCGTGGAACCTGTGGGGAGAATATAGAGACCATCACCATGGTGACCCACAAGTCCAACAACTGCTGGCGGGACACTGGTCAAACAGCAAACTTCAGAGATGGATGAAAAAATGTCCAGGACACTGTGACAGCAACGCTATGACAGATACTGCCAGCTCTCCAAGAGGAGAAGGTAAAATCCTCAAGGACAAGGTCATGGGTTGGGTCAGGTGATCACTGAACAAATGAGAAAATCAACAGGCCCATGTCACTAGGATATACATTCCTGAGACAAAGTGATCTTCAGCTATGGGAGGGGACGTAGCACTGGGGCAGGACTAAAGACAGCTGGCTTCTGGCTCTGGCTCTGTTCCTAGTAAGCTACATGACAGTGGACAAGTCATGTAAGCTCTCTGAGAGTCACTTTACTCAAATGCAATGCCAGTCAGAAATCTTAAATGCAAAACACATAACTCGGAAGTGCTAGAGGTGAAGCTGGGGGCATGCAGAAGGCTGACACTCTTCCTCCATTCTCCCCCTCTTCTTCTGCCTCCCCTGTCCCTATCCAGCTCAATTAGTCAGTCTCTAAGGCCCCTTAGAGCCCCAGGTTTCCGTGATTCAGCAAAGACAAGGATGTGAATGGTGGGGTGGGAAGAGGAAGAAATATTAAGGGAGTCCATGGCCTGAGAGGCAAGCCTGGGTTGGCCCATGGAGGTGAAGTGAAGCGGGCTGCCTTGGACTCCCTGATCTTTGTGTAATAAGGTAACCTCTGTGGTCTGAGCTCTGGTGTCTCCTCAGTGTATTTCCCAAGAACTTGGAAGCTTCATACTTGAGCCTATGCAGGTAAGTCATGAAACTAGGGCAACACAAAGGCAGCTTTTGTTAATTAAAGGAAACATATGGGTTCAGCTGGGGCTGAGGAAGTTAAAGAGCAAAGAGAAACAGAGCATTGGGAGCCTCAGCTATAGTGACTTACATACAAATTATACCCAACATGCAAAATGAGTGTGCATGTGTGTGCCTTGGCATGGGCATGCAGCTCCAGCCCAAAGCCCACCCACCCCACCTGTCCCCACCTGGCACACACCTGCCACATGTTTGATCCTGTGGCCCACATCCTCATCCGTGGGCGTGGTGACCGGGCTCATCACCTCTTCTAGGTGAGGGACTCGCAGGTGGGCATGGGGTCGCTTCCTCCTCCGCACTGTCGTAGTCTTGCTGGCCTTCTCTTTGGGAGACTGTCTGTGCATCTCAGCCAAATAAGTGCTCTCCGTTTTGGCCAGCTCACTCTCTATCAGAGACAAAAGGGCCAGAGGAGAGGCCACCTTCAGCCCTCCAGATGAGACTCTCTGCAGGACATTTTTCTATTCTGTACTCTGGGAAGTTGGTTGGGCAGGTTGATGACCCTCAGGGATGCCCACAAGCCTTGGGAGGTTCTTCTGGCACCTAGCCCCAGTCAAACCCCTCCTTTGGGGTTATTCAACATTGTAAGGAACCATGTGTTTCCAATAGCTACACCCTCGTGTATACAGTTTGGGGCATACACACTTCCTAAATAGATGCATTCGCAGGCATTTTACAGATACTTCTCATCACAGAACCACCTATATCACCAGATCTGTGGTTCCTTTTGGAATGAGGGGTGTTATAGATCCCTAAATGATCTCCTAAACATCCTAGACACAGTCTTTAAAAATGCACATGTCCACGTACATGCAAAATTTGGTGTCTACCCCTGGAGCAGGTGTGGGAACCTCATGAAACTACTTCCCTTTTCAGTCTCTGCCCTATTCTCAATACCATTCTCCAGAATGGTGGGCAGCCGCTATGCAGCTCACCGTCTCTGCAGCCCAGCTAGTGGCAAGGATTCTGTGCTCACCTAAATGGCGGAAGTAGTCCTCCAGCCCACTCCAGAAGTTCTTCTCGATGAAGGTTTTCACTAACCCCCAGGGCTGTTTTCGATAGCGCAGCTCTGTGGAGACCCTGAGGAGCAAGCCAGAAACAAGATCGGTCATTTCCTGGGTAGACCTGCCTCTGCTGGGGAAAAGGAAATTCGGGGTTAAGGCCAAAGTTGCTCCACATTTGTACTAAATTTTATGAGTTAAAAGGTCCTTCCACATCCATCACATTTTCTGATCTCCATGACCACCCTCTGAGGTCAGTGGAACTGTTGGATCTATCACCATTTCACAGATGAGAAAACTGGGGTGTAGGATATTTAAGGAGCGCAAAGGCTAACAGTTAGGGTTCTGACCCCAGAGCTCTGATGATGGCACACTGCTTCCCCTCAGGGGTCTCACAAAGGTCCAGTAGCCTGCCTGCCAGGCAAAGGAAGGCTTGCCTGAAGTTCAAGTCTTTTGAGAAACTGAATGAAAGAAAGATGCCCCATCCTTTCGTCAGGGTCCTTCTCTCCTTCTCCAGAGCCTTTTAAGTCTAAGTCAAGCTCTGAGGTTTTATTACTGTAACCTTTAAAAGTATCAGTCATGCAGGGCAACATAGTGAGACCCCATCTCTAAAAATAATAATAATAATTAGCCAGGGGCATGCTTGTAGTCCCAGCTAATGCAAGGTTAAGGTTGAAGATTCAGTAAGCCATGATTGCACCACTGCACTCCAGCCTAGGCAAGAGAATGAGAACCTGTCTCAGGAAAAAAAAAAAAAAAAAGAGTATCATCTGCTGCCGGCCCTGCCTCTCCACCACACCCCAGACCTCACCGGCTCTTGCTCTTTTCCAAGCATTCTCTCTCCCAGTCACTGGTCGCACTTCTGCCCATACCTCCCGCAATATCAGATCTTTCCTCTCCTATGCAATAGCCCTGCTCTTTGCCCCCGCCTTAGGTTCATCTTTGCCTCCCCCTTAGGTTCATCTGCATCTGTCAATAGATTCTACCAGCTAACCCATCCCACCTGTGACTAAGGCTGCCAGCCCGGCCTCATCCCCCTCCTCAGGAACGCCACCTCCAATGAGAGAAAGCCGGTACTTGGAGACACCTCACTCCCCAGCTCAACAACCGCTGACTGGATTGTGGATGAGCACTTTCCTATAATGGTCTGTTCAAGGTCAACCAGCTACCTCTGCATGGCTGCAGAGAAAAGATGTGATTGGAAGATCTGAGGAACCTAGAATTAAGAAACCTAGGCACTGTGGAGGAAAGGATAAGAACAAGAGGGAGAGAGAAGGAAGGGAAATAAAAGAAGGAGGAAGAGAAGGAAGGCTGAAAGAGGAGTACATGTTCAGGAGGAAGCACAGAACACGCACCTCCCAAAAGAAATTACCAAGAGAATGAAAAAGATGCATTTTTTAAGATCTCCCTTTTAAAATCTCTTTTTTAAGAGACAGGGTGTTACTCAGTCTCCCAGGCTGGAGTACCGTTGTGCAATCATAGCTCATTGCAGCCTCAAACTCCTGGGCTTAAGCGATCCTCCCACCACAGACTCCCGAGTAGCTGGACTACAGTACATGCTGCTACTCCTGGCTAACTTCTATTTTTTGCAGACATAGGGTCTCCCTACATTGCACAGGCTGGTCTTGAACTCTTGGGCTCAAGCAATCCTCCTGCCTAAGCCTCCCAAAGTGTGGGAATACAGGCATGAAGCACAAAGATCCTTCTTGAGGTGCACATCTTGATGCCCAAGAGATCTCTGTGCAACCTTTTACCAAATTTTATTTGAACAACAGTGAATTTTTGGCTCCTTACAACCAACAGAACTTGGTCTAAGGTACAGGTAAACAGTCTGATGATTTTCAAATGGGTGCGTGTCTTGCCTTTTCAATTAGACTACACGTTTCTTAAAATGTCAGGGTCTAAATTTCTTCCTTCCTTTGGAAGCACACCACAATGCCGAGAACAAATTATTCATTCCATCGGTGTTCTCTGGACTCTGATATGTGCAGGCTCAGTTGGGTGCTGGGAATAAAGTGTGAGTGGAATGGAATTCCTGCCCTTGTGGAGCTCACTGTCTAGCATGCAGCATGGTGGACAGGGCACAGGTTTACGACACCAAGCTCTGGGCGTCAGTGCCTACTAGAGACATGACTCTTGGCAAAGTTGCTTAACTTATATGAAACTCAGTTTTATCTGAAAAATGAAGATAAATTTACCTCCTTGAGTCATTCTAAAGACTCTGGTGAATGTAGATAGCCTATACTATACTATATAAGCCATAGACAGCCAATAAATAGCAGTAGCTATATAAGTTTTACTAACAAGATGCACAGAGTGGAAGAATAATTAACTCTTTCAAAAGAGGGTGGTGGGTAAGCCTCAGAAGGCTTCAGAGAGAAGGTAGAATAGAGAGTGGGCAGCCAAGCACACCCCACCTCCTCCTTCCCCGCCAAGAGCACATGAATGTTCTCTAAGGTAGGGGCCCCCATCTGACCGCACAGGGCCCTCTACACACTGCACCTGAGTCGGCTCTTGTTCCGAGCCACGCGGGTGAGGGTGTAGCGATTGATTGTGTAGAAGTAGTCATGGTAGGGCACGTCGTGGGTGAGGACTTCGGCATCTATCACGTAACATTCACTCTCCTGGCTCGCCTTGTACATGGTCTGCGGGCAGGAAAGGTCCATTGGACAAAAGTGAGGAAGAGCAAGATACTTGGAAAAGCACCTTCTTCAGCCTCCCCAAGCCCACCCCACCCGACTTCTGAACAGAAGAACCAGAATCACTGGAATCAGCAGCATCTAAATGAGCAAGATGTCACCAGCACTTTGGAGCAAAATGACACTTGTGCCCTGAAACTTCTTCCTGACATCTGCCCTTAATCCTTCAAGACAGAACACAGATTTTCCAGACCACTCTTCTGTGCATCCGCCAGCTCTGCTCACCTGTGTCTCCCTGACAGTGGCAGTTTTGGGAGCCAGAGGGTTGGTAAGGGTGATGGTGTAAAGAATCACTCGGCTCTGGTTTCCGTTCTCCTCCTTTTTCCATGGATGGAAGATGATATCTAAGGGTAGAGGACAGCCCTAGAATGAGGGAGGGGAAGGCAGAGCCCCCTCCCCAATCCAAATTTCCTCTCCAAGTGACCTTCTTCACTGTGCTTAACTTACTACTGCCTGGCCCCCAAAAGGAAGCCAATGGGAGCCTGAGGGCCCGGGGGGAGGGTGGGAAGAGGAGGAGTAGTTGAAGCAGAAAGAGGCTCATTGTAGCATTGTCAAAATTCTACACAAGGCTCCAGAATGCTGATTGTTCCTTGGGCTGGAACAGGAGGTCTTGGGGCCACCTACGGGGTGCTGGCAACACTGGTGTTACTGTGGCGAGGGTCCCTTGGGAACAAGTCCTCTCCTCTAAGCCATGACCTCCCCATGCCCTGAGCATGCCCTCTCCTCTTGGCACACAGGATGGCTGATGCCCAAATGCTTTGTCATAGCTGGATGCTTAGCACTCCCTGCTGTGGAAAGAGTTTGGAGGAAGGGGAGGAGGCAGAAGCACAGAGGGTCAGAGCATGAACCCCCAGATAGTAGATGTGAGGCCCGGCCTAGCTCTTCCTTAGCTGCATGAGGTGAGGCAAGCACTAACAGTGTGAGTTCCAGCAGCCTCACTGGTGCCTACACACAGGGTAGCTGTGAGGTCTGAATGAGATAACGGCATGTGAGTGGCATAGAGTGGGTGCTGCCAGCGAGTGAGAGCTGCTGTGATTTACTAGACAGTGAGCCCTGTGAGGGCAGTCTTAGGGGCTGGTGTGCAGTGGGCAAGGGTGAAGCTGCAGTGCTGGTGAAAAGAGAGGGCAACGGGGCCTGAGGGAGCTCCAGCACCGCAGAAGGCTGGAGAGAGGGTGTCTGGGCCATCAGGTGACCAAGGGAAGAAGGGTGTGTAGGAAGAGGAATAAGGAAGGGAAGGAAGCAAATATAGAGAGGGAAGAAGCTAGGACAGAGAGCGGGGGTTGGGGGATTCAGCCCCAGCAAAACAGACCAGAGAAGCGCCGCTGCTCCATGAAGTCCCGCTGGAAGGGCGAGTTGGTGAAGAGGAGGTCGTAGAGCTTGTCCACGCTGAAGTTGAAGACTTCATTCACGTACTGCCGGCCACTCAGGTCCTCATAGAAGGCCTGGACCTCCCCTGCACAAGAGAGGACCAGGAAGTAGACGGTGACTACAGAGGGGCAGGAGGCATAGGTGACAGGAGGTGACTACAGAGGGACATCCTCCCAAGAGCACTTATGTCTCCAGCTAACATGGGCACGGCCACCAAGGTTATGGAGAGGCCGTGGAGCAGGACAGCTGAGCTCACGGGCTCCATTGTTTACGACTTCGCTTTCAGTCTCTTTCATTTGCTGGGATGCACACCATTTCCTTTAGCTGAGACTCTGCCCATTCATTCTTTGTTTGGGAATGTACAATTTGCTTTCACACTTTCAAACCTCCCTAATTCCATTGATCTTAGACTAAAATTTAAATAAATGACTACTTCCCAAAGTTGCCTAAACCCAAAGAATGGGGTTTTGAGAGCGTCCTCTGACAACAAATTGTAGCCGTAACCCACGGCAAAGGTGTGTTTGAGGGAACATAAATTAATCTGGAAGACTCACTCGGCTCTGTGAGTCTGTGATCCCAACAGACTGTGATCCCTAACTACACTTCTGTAACGCATTCTGTTTCTACCGTGATGCCCACATACATCTACTCCCCTTTTAAACTTGGGATTACAGCTTCATCATATCGCAAAACAAGATTCAAACCAAAATGAGCGAGCGGCACACAGAGCAGGGTGTGGGAGAACTCCAGAAGTAGAGCTTCCTTTAGTCTCAGGGATGCAGAGCCCTCCCGGCACATCAATGCGTCCATATACAGAATATTGCCAGCCAGAGAATTTCACCTGTAATCTGAATTTTCCAGCTGCTGTAGGAGAATGCACCTGAGGGTACAGGTGCGCTGATAAGGCCTCAGTGCTCCCCTAAGCCCTTGGTACCCCTCGGTTCCTAATTATTGCACCTGCATAGGTGGGTATGTGATCTCAGGAGGAGGCTGACATTTCTGGCACCCCCAAGACCCTGAAAAAACCAGAGAACTCTGAAGCACCCTGTAGGGTCAAGTCCTATGACTGCACAGATGGGCATTGTACAAGCGCAGCGCTGGGAGGGTTCACCTTAGTTTATGTGAATGGCACCCTGGAATTAGGCATTACCCAACCTATGCAGTCATTTGCGCTGGCCCTGGACTCTACATGGGGGTGGGTAAACCAACCAAAGGTTAGAAAACCACTGCAGGTGGCCCCTAGGAGAGGTGTCCACAGATCCACAAGTGAGCACTGCGTTCATATGCTGACTAGTCATAACAGATCACTTATTCAATGGAGAAAATCCACCAATCAATTTTGTGAATGCTGAGAATTTGGCTTCTCTCCATGAAAGATAAGAAGCATCATGTTCCCCAGTGAGATCCTAGAAGCTAATCCTATGCAGGCATGAAGTTAGAAACTACCTGCTTACAAAAATTAAAGGAACAAGGGAGTCTCCAAACCCTGTTTGACTCAGCAACACGTTTTCTTCTAGCTGGGCCTAAACACCCCACGGTGGAGGTATTAACAAGTTTTGCAGCTATCTTGAGAACGTTTCTGTTAAAATCCAATTATTTCCAGGGAGCAGCTGACTGGTGCCTTCCTTGTGGCTTATAAACATTGCCTAGCCTTGCATGACTGTGAGGGTCAGGGCCACAAGGCAAGCCAATGTCAACAGGGGATACATTTAGTGACAAGACTAAATGATAGAACAAAGCATTATCTATGAAAGGCTCCTACAGCAAATAACTGAAAACAGGGATGTATACTGATAACAGGCGCCTTTTGTTGTGGAAGCTCTGCTCCCATCTTTCCACCAGGAAGCTAGAGAGTAACTCCAGTCCCCACATAGAGATCTCCTTTTAGCCTTCAAAATAGAGAAAGGGCCACTGCAGACCTTTTTTCAAATGCCCACCTTCATCGTGTGTGTCAGAAGAGTCACTGAGCTCAGTGGGGATGTCCTCATTGTCATTGAAGTCCAGTGAAGGCGAGTTCACGGGAGCGATCATTTCAATCTTCTCCCCCATGATGTTGTCGATGGCAAGCTCCTTCTCCAGGGACCCGTCTCCCTCCAGTGCCTCCTCCTCCAGGGGCAGCCCATCAAACTGGAGCCAAGACAGAGGAGTCACCCACTAGGGAAACCTGGTCTGGATATACTCTCCAAAGGGAGATTAGGGATCTGGCCTTGGCAGTTCTCACACTCCCTGCTCAGTTGCTGGAGAGTGAAGCCAGTCAGGCTCCGAAGCCCTTCCCCAGAGCTGCCAGAGAGGGTAGGAAAACACAGTAGAAGGACTGCTGCACTTCTGCACAAGCTTCCGAAGTGCACGGGGCTGGTCCCCACAGGGCCAGGTCCTTTCCTGGAGCCACACCTGAACCACCCTGCCTGCACAAGATCAAGCCTGCCTCCAGGTAATACCTGTTTATCCTAAGAAGCTCCAAAGGCTTCATACGCATTTTTTTAAAACTTATTCTTTTGTTAGCCCTGGAAGGGAATCAATACAACTCTATACATTTTAAAAATGACCCCAGAGAAAGAAAGCAAAGGCCAGGCATCCAATGAATAATGTTTTCATTCTAAGGACAGGTAAGGTCTGACCCAAAGGCCACTGAAATGCAACGTTCCCTTTTGAGGGAGTCCTTTCCCGAAGAACCCCACCTGTTCTTCTGTCTGCCAGCACACGCCCTGACACACTTTTCTCATCAAGGTTCTATCTCCTCTATAACAGAGTCCCAGAGGACAGAGGTTCTCTTACACATTTTTACAGCTTCCACTCAGTATACCACAGTGCAAAAATAAGACACAACATGTATATTCAGTAAATATCAATCAAATGAGTGGATAAACAATTAATTTTTCCGTAGTTCTATATTCATGCATGACTTTGACTTCAGAGTAAGGCAGTGGAAAAGGACCTGGAATTGTTCTCTACCAGAGAGGCTGATCAGCAGCAGCCCAGCAAAAGCAAAGCCCACACAGTGGACTTGAAATGGTTTTCATCCGCTCAGAAGTCAAACCCAATCATGTACCCCAGGCACCTAGCCCCAGCTCTGGACCTGGGCTACATCACTAGAATATGGATGGCCCATCTGCTCCGGAATGCCTCCTTGAAGAAACTGACCACAGCGTAACCAGTCTCCTCTCTATCTGCTCTCCAGGTGGGGTTCCCAGTGAACTAAGCTAGGAAACGCTGGCTGGCCACAGGACTGGGGGTAGAAGCCACGGTTGACTGCCCATACCGAGACAGGGGCCTCACTGCTCCCTGTGGATGTCAGTGTGCTGTTGGTGATGGATTTCTTGGGCAGCTGTGGACTTGCATCTGGCTTGGTCTCTATGCTGCTCTTGGATGAGCTGTCATTCACTTCATTCTCTTCCACAGGGATCTCTTCACAGTATCTGAGAGGAGACACCAATGAGTCCCCATTAACCTCAGTGGTTCAAGATGGCAGACTATTTAAGACTCTCAGACCTTTCTATCCATTCAAATCTATGGGATTTCCTGTTTCTTTGCTTTGTATATAATCTTCCTCTAACCAAAAATCCCCCTCTTACCCCATCACTCTCTCCTTCACATCCCGCCCCACCCCTCCCTGCCTCCCATGTAAAATTTCCAACTGCAAACACACCTTTTCTAGGTAGCCTGCTTAGATATATCCCTACCTAAATAGAAGTATGATTTGTCTTAAGCTATTTTTTTCCATGGGTGCCCATCCCATTTGGAGCCTCTGAATCAAACATCTGGGTTCTGAGCATGCATTTCATTTCCCAAACAGTGACTAAGACAGGACTCTGGACACAAGCGCTCCTTCAGTGGCACTGCCCAAATTCTGGATGATAACTGGAAAACTTCCCTGTATTATATATACCTAAAAAGAAAAATTCCTTGAGATGAAGGTGGGTGCCCTTCGAGGAATGCTTCAGGGATGCCACTCTAGTCTCCTCTAAGGGAGCAATCATCACCCTATCGCCATCATCGTCGTCTGACCTGTACTTAACAAATCCAGATGCTTGAGAACTCTCTGGAAATCATCATGTGCATTTTAGAGATAACCAAATAGGTGTTCAGAGAGGTTAAGTGACACTATTTGGACTGAGCCCAGACCTAAGCACTATACACATTCCATGCTCCTTTCCTTTTTTCCCCGTATGCCTCTTGCATCACCACCAAGCCTGCAGCTTCCCTTCCACACATGCTTTGTGCCAGTCAACTGGGACATCTTCCCATTCTTCCTTAACCTATCAACAGCATGTGACACAGTGACAATCCCTTCTGCCTAACTTCCTTCCCCTGGCTGCCAGGATACGAAACCTTCCTAGGGCCCTCCTACCTCACTGCACTTGCTTTCAAGATCTCTTCAGCTCCTTCTTCCCCGCACTGAGTGCTCCCAAGCAGTCCTTGAACTTCTTTTTATGTTCACGCAGTCACTTGAAATTGCAGTGAATCGCATAACTATCCACTAGTAATTCCCGCATTTCTGGCCCCTGACCGGGATTCCCTGTAAACTCCACACAAATGCCCACTTGACATCTCCATTTGGTTAACAGGCATCTCAATCTCAACTTACCTAAGACCACCCTCCTGATGTCCCCCTGAAACCTGCTCTGCCTACAGTACTGTCCCTCTCCGTTTAGAACAATGCCATCTTTCTAGACAGTAAAACTAAAAATATCTGAAAGCCACCTTTGGCTCCTTTCTGTTCCATCAACATGTCCTTCAATAGCTGTTCAGGAACTAAACACTTACTGCCGTTTCTCCTTCAAACCACCACCATCCCTCATCTAATTACCTAAATTACTCAGGAGCCTCTTAACGGGTCTCCCTGCCTCTGCCCTGGTTCCCCTTTCAGTGTATTTTCAGTGCAAGGGCCAGAGTGATCCTACTGAAGTGTTAAATCAGACCTTAGCAATTATCCATGCAAAACTTTCCCATTCCACTCTCAGTAAAAGCCAACCATAAAGTTGGCCAGGCCCTTAGCTATGCCCCCTTGGGCTCCCTGACCTCACCTCTGACCACTTTCCCTCATTCATTCCGTAGTTCATTCCACAGCTGCACAGGCATGCGTGCTGTTCCCTCTGCCTGGGAGGTTCTTCCTGCAGGCACGTGCTTGACTGCCTCCAGGCAGCCACCCTGGGCCTCACTCACCCCATTGTGTTGAAGTCATCATCAGGGGGCACGTAGTCCTCATCATCACTGGTCAGGCCCAACTCGTTCCCATAGCACTGGTGAACAAAGTGCCAGAGTTCCTTGGGACACAGAGGCTTCAGGGGAGAAAAGAAACAACTGAGCCTTCCTCCCTCAGGTACCCCCGCTCTGCACAGAGGCAGTGAGCCGGTCTGGCTCCCCTGGAGAAGACGAGAAACTCCTCTCTCCTTAGCTGATACCAGAGGCACACAACCACCGCCCCCCCATCTGCCTTGGGGTTCTCGGCAGGATGCCAGTCTTCTGCCTAAAAATGTGGACTTTAACAAAGCCAGGAACTGGCCTTTCCATGCCCGATCCCTCAACAGAGGTTTGTAGAATGTGACCAACTGGCCCCCAGAGGATGGTAACTGTCTCATCTTTTGCTCTTATGGATAAGGTCCAGCACTGAGTAGCAAAAACCCATGTAACTCTGGAGCCACGGTGATCCCAGAGCTTCTGATTAGTACTCTGAATGAATGCCCAGGAGTCCTCTGACCCAGTACCCCACCACACTGCACAGAAATCTCCTGCATTAACTGAGGCCTTACAGACCCTACTGGATCACTTCCAAGAATAAAGTTTGACCTCAAAGATGGCCCATTCCATAGCTGGACAGTTTCTAGGGGTAGAGAGTCTTACGTTCCCACAGTTTTAGGATCCGAATATTTCCTTCTCTGTTCTGAGGTGGAGTGTTTGCCTGCAGTTCTATGCATTAGTTCCAGTGTTTTCTTATTTCACTGGGTGCCTATGTGTCCTCCCAAAAAACACTGCTCTAAGAAAACTTTGTTCTCACTGGATTCAGAGTCTCCAGAGAGAGGCAAAGCAATGTCAAATAACTCAGATCAGAGGCGAAGACCAGGAATGAGTCTCAGACTTGGAGGAAGGGAAGAAGGGATAAGGGTGTGGAAAAGAGGGCAAGGGCATGAAGAAAAACAGAAGCAATCATTATCTTAAAAAATAATCCCATTTCAAAAATGTTTGCACCAATAGACTTCCTAAAGAATTTGAGAGCTCCCAAGCCCATGGTTTCAGGTATGGTTTAAGAAGCAGGCAGCTGGCAGAGTACATTGAGCTACGATTCCAGCTTTCTGACTAAGGAGAAGTAGCTGGAATGGCAAAATTGGGACCCTGCCTCTAGGCCAGCGGAATTGGGGGCAGTATCTCTATGCTGGCCCTCATAGTGCCCGAGGGACGTATCTCCTCCTTCTCTCTCGGACCTCCACCTACTATCTCTGGCCTTTATGTGCCACATTCACCCTGCCTGGGACAACGTTCACCCTGCCTGGGACAGCGTTCACCCTGCCTGGGACAGAGTTCACCCTGCCTGAGACAACCTTCACCCTGCCTGGGACAGCGTTCACCCTGCCTGAGACAACCTTCACCCTGCCTCGGACAACCTTCACCCTGCCTGGGACGACATTCATCCTGCCTGGGATACATCTGCTTCTCTGCCAAACTATATGCTGCCCTGCACCACCCTTCACCTGCTCTCTGCAGCATTCCCCAACCAACACCACGTGGCTCAGCTTGGCCAACCATGGTCCAGACAAGCACAGTTAGCAGACCCTCTTCAGCAGCCCCAATTCTTACAATTATTTGTTAGGGCATTTGTGAAGTATACGAATGACCCCATGTCTTATTTAAAAGTGACAACAGCTATGAATTGAAAATTCAAACCTGCCAGTGGAGACTAAAACACTTGATCATTTTACTATTACTGATGATGAATGAAGGCAGAGGACCACAGCTCAGATAAGTTATCAGGATTGATACTAGGGCTACAGACTCTCAGAACAGAAGAAACTCTAAATAATAAATCGACTCAGTTTCTTATGCAGCCATTTGCTTGGGCTACAGTCAAGGCCAATATATGCATATATTTAAATACACATGTCAATCTCTTTCTCTCTCTCTCTCTCTCTCTCTCTCTCTCACACACACACACACACACACACACACACACACACATAAATACACATATATGGCCAGGCACCGTGGCTCACGTCTATAATCCCAGCTCTTTGGGAGGCTGGATGGGTGGATCACAAGGCCAAGACGATGAAACCCTATCTCTACTAAAAATACAAAAACTAGCTGGGTGCAGTGGCAGGCACCTGTAATCCCAGCTACTTGAGAGGCTGAGGCAGGAGAATCACTTGAACTCAGGAGGCGGAGGTTGCAATGAGCCAAGATCGTGCCACTGCATTCCAGCCTGGGCAACAGAGCAAGACTCCATCTCAAAAAAAAAAAAAAAAAAAATACACACACATATAAAATTAACTAATCCTGGAAGAAACATTATATGTGTGTTTGTGTGTGTGTGTGTGTGTGTGTGTGTGTGTATTTTTTCTTACATCTCTTTCTCTGACTTAAAGCTAGTTTCTTACCATCCAACTGCATCTGAGTGGGAACTTTTTTTTTATTTAAACAGGGTCTTGCTCTGTCACCCAGGCTAGAATGCAGTGACACAATCACAGCTCACTGCATGAATAGGTGCCTTTATCAAGAAGTGTCTCTTCATAGCTAAACACTCAAGAAGTCAATTTGTGATGGCTGTGTTAACTACATTTATTGTATTTTATGTTGTGGTATCTGTGCCTTGCTGACTGGGAAGGGACCCAGCAGGGTTAGCTAATTCCTAGAGAGAGGAAATAACTCATCCAGGAGTGGGCCTTTCATATGCAGCCAGCCTATCCAAGGCTCATATTCACACCCAACCCATTATCTATTATAGCTTCCGAGGTATCAGGCAACTTGAGACAGTCCCTACACCCTGCAACCTGCTGAAATTATTTAAACTAGCCAATCCCAGACCTGCTTGGCCTGCTTGCACTGCCTTCCCAACTCCTTCCTGCAAAAGCTACAATAAAGGCTCTGCCCATTCTTCCCCTTTCCCATTCTGTCTCCTGACTGACCCTGGTGCTTCCCTGGGCCCTCCCATCCTGCTGTGCCCCCTATTTCTGGGGTCTGTGAATTTAAGAACTTCTTTCTTTATGACTGCATGCATTACTGCACCTGATTAGAAAAAAAATCCCAGGACATTTCAAAGCAGTGAAACTGAAGTGCCTGAAGATAATGAGTGCCTCATTCCTGGAGGTGTTGAGGCCGTTAGTGAGAGAATTTATATGCTACTTTCAGGAGTCAGGTCAATACTGTCAGTGGGAGAATACTATCAGTGGCGAAACCCTGAGGAGAAACAGGCTTCTGTGGAGACAGCCAGTCCCACAGTAAAAGCAAACTCAGCAGTACTTACCTTTTCAAGGAGGGCATTCTGCCAGAGCCGGAACATCATCATATATGTCCTATCCCGGGCCCCAAACGATGTGAAGAAGTGCTAGGGAGAAATGAGAAAATGGCAATAAATGTCTGTTGAGTTACAATATAATTAAGAGGGACACAGTCCTCCTTCCTTTAGGAAAAAATACTGACTTCATCCTCAAATACTAATGACTCAGTTACCCGTGATCACGCACCTCTGCTTTAGTGATGGGGTCAGTACACCAGAGGCCTGGGTACCTGGTACTGTTAAGCTCCCAGTGTGACGAAGTCCTTCCAGTCTTACCCACACTTTCCTTAGTGCTTTTCTCCTTGTTTTGAAATTCTCATCTCGATTAAAAAAATGCCCCTCACCTACCTACTGGAACTGGGTAAGGGGCGAGCTATGAACTAGCCTAAATGGAAAGATAAGACCAACCTGCAACCTACCTACAAACCTGCCAACCTATTTCATTCATTCAACTATTTGAATATTAGTATGTGTAAGGCACCAATCTACATGTGTAAGGGATAAAAACAGCACAGAAAGAGATCCTGCTCTTGTGCAGTCTACCCATTAAACAGACACAAAGAAAGCAGTAAAGATTTTACTGACCAACTACAAGGTGGTCTACAAATGCTATTTCATTTAAATCACACAAAAAGCCTTAGACAATAAACAAAGCTAACAACTAACAAAGCGTAACAGGCTGATGAGGTTAGGCACATGTATAACCACGAAGCTGGTTAGCGTCCAAAATATAGGTCAAACCAGGGCAGGTGCAGTGGCTCATGCCTATAATCCCAGCACTTTGGGAGGCCGAGGCTGGTGGATCACCTGAGGTCAGGAGATCAAGAGCAGCCTGGCCAACATCATAAAAATACAAAAATCAGCTGGATGTGATGGCGGGCACCTGTAGTCCCAGCTACCTGGGAGGCTGAGGCACAAAATCGCTTGAACCTGGGAGGTGGGGGTTGCAATGCGCTGAGATAGTACTACCGCACACCAGCCTGGGCTACAGAGCAAGACTCGGTCTCAGACAACAACAACAAAATAGGTCAAACCAAAGACTATCTGACTCCAAAGTCTCCTGGTTCCTGCCACTGAACTGCTTGAGTCCAAGGGAACTGTAAACCTGGTCTTCAGCAGAAACCTAGTCTACCCCTAGCCTTGATCCTCTTAATCTTCAGGCTCTGGTGAAAAGTCAAAAGTCACTGTTTGCTCTGTCCTTATCTGACATATTCTCCCCATACTAATAAAAACAATCCATTTTCTATCAGACTCCCCATCCTCTGGAGAGATAGTCATCAGCGATGCTGATACATAATGACAACTGCTTACATTTGTATGCTGCTTTACAATTTAGTGTTTTCAAATACATGATGTTATTTCAAGACTGTGTTAAATATTGCTGGCTCCATTTTGCAGGTGAAAAAACTTAGGCTTAGGGATGTTACCCAAGACACTTATAGTTGAGGGACTCAAATTTAGGTGTCCTGGCTCCAAGTCCAATGTTCAGCCACTCCAGCCTCCCCGTGCTCGCCCTACCCCGGCCTGTCCACCCAGGAGGTGGTTCCTGGAGACTGCGTCACTCCCAGTGCCTCTCATCCCAATCCTATTGGCCTCCTTATTCATGTAATTCACGAAAGGGCAAAAATACAAGAGTACGGGGAGTGAGGCACAGGGGAGTAAGGGAGAATTCGAAAGGCCAGAGTTAGACTCCACTTACCTTTTCTGAATCAGTGCAAACTTGGATGGCATTGGGAATGAGGCGAGCTGTTTTTTCTTTAGTCATGGAACAGATGTCTTTCAAACGGACTGTCAGCTGACATCCAAGAGGACAGAAAATGGGTTACAAGCAAGAGGGGGCATTACAAAGTCAGGTAAATGGTGTTCGGGGGCACCAGTGTAGACAGAGGCAATCAGATCACATATTACTAATCCTGGAAGATACCACATTGGTGTTCATCTGGTTTACCCCTTTATTTCACAGAGGGCACACAGCAGAGCGGGGACTGAGCCCTGTCAACAGCCATGAGTATCTTGATTCTTGGTCAAGGAGCTTTCTCATTTCTATACAGTCTGCTAAATGTGCAGAGGTCCTGCCATTATTTGCCACATACAGAAACACAGAATACTGGTGCAGGATGGGACCATAAAAATCATCGAGTTAATCTTTCTCTACATTGGTATATGGGATGAGGAAACAGAGGAAAAGAAAGGACTAGCCTAAAATCACGCTGCTAATTAGTCGCAGAACCCAGAATCTGTGCAAGCCGGTTCTTCAGAGACCCAAGGCCAAAGCCCTTCCTAACTTTACCATGCTTCCTCCTGCAGTCACTCATGCCAAATATGTGCCTGCATTTGACATAAAAAAATGCTCAGTCCTCTCTTCTATACCCAATGGAAAGGGAGGAAGGGGAAGACATGGCAGAGGAGACATTATTGGGACTTAGAGCTGGGTATCCTTAAAGACTTAGGCATGTTTTTGTTAACTACGCAAAGGCTTGAGAAAAGTATAAAGTCAGCAAAAGGAAGAAAGCAAGGGCAGCTTGCTCAGCCGTAGCCAAGGGGACAGCCCAAGGGAGCATGCGCAGGTCTTTACCAGAGTTTCCCAGCGGAAGATGTTGCTGTAGAAGCAGATCCAATTTTCAGAGAGGTAGAGTCGGCCCTGAAGGAGAATGTCTCTTTGGAGTGCACATGAGTAATCTGCGGTAGGAGCGGAGATAGGGGAGGGAGCTCAGGGGCAAGAAGCATTTTCAGCAAACCACTGTCGAGTAGGCATGTCATCCTTCCCACCAGCACTGTGGGATCCCAGTCACCCATCGCAGACAAAGGGCACCAGACACTTGAACTAGCAGCCAAGGAACTCCCTGGTATCTCATGATAAGGAGCATAAAGGTGGCGTAATAACATGCAACTGCCTAGAGGCAGATAAATAAATGTGATGGCAAAGTAGGCCAAGGAAGCTAGAGGTGGAAAAGACCAACAAATTCAACTAACGTCCCTCCCCCATCCACAACTATGCTAACCCCTTCTGCCACTGGGCCATCTGCGGAGAAAAAAGTGCCAGTGACTCACTCCAGGTTGGGCTCTCAAGGCTGCCACAAGCCTGGTACTCAGCCTTGAGCCCTGATAGCTGGAGCCAGGGCTCTGGACAGCCTCTCTCCCTGTTCCCTTGCTTACTGGGTTGGCTCGTGGCCTCTAGACAGAAGCACCCTGAGTGCTACGCCGAGGGCTCCCCAGACTTCCTCCCTGTCCCCTCCAGGTCACCCAGCTCACCAACAATGAGGCGCTCCGTGTCTGGAAGCTGCTTAAAAAGCTTTCTGAAGTCTTCATTTCTCTGCTTATAGGTGGGGCTTAACACCTGCGTGACAATGGCCAAGGTTAGCAGGATGCACCTGGGTTCTGTGGGGTTAGGGAGGAAGGAAGGTGCAGAAGGAGGAGCACTTGCTTGTGTGTTTAAAAAAAAAAAAAGCAAAGTTGAGGCTCTGCTCTCCCACAGACCCTAGGAGGCCAGGCTAAGGAATGGGGCTCGGTGTGGAGAAACACAGTGGGGAGAATCTGGTGCTGAAAAACACTTTGCAGCCAGAGTTCACCAATTAGAAAATGTCAGATACACCCAGAAGGGGCTCTCATTATATCCCAATAAGAGAAAGGAAGGAGGGACACCTCCAGGGGGCTTCCGGGGATCCACCATGCCAGCTACTGCCGTTCTGCCTTCTGCCAGCACCACCTTGACAGTGAAGCAAGGACCCAAGAAGGCTGCCCAGCCCCCCATGATGGTGCCCAGAGCATCAGAAGAAAGTGTCGTCATGACTAACAGAGTAAGCACTTGGCCGTGTGGGAAAGACATGATTTTCTAAGAAATCATAACACATAGTGCTAATAAAATCACAAAACATAAAACCAGTACCACAATAAGCACACAGGTAGAGAATTAAAAAACACAACTGGCACATGAGAGACATCCAACTCCCCTCTCCATCTTTACATTATCTCATCTAATCCTTACAGCATTGAGGAAGAGACCAAGGCCAGAGAGAAGCACCTTCCCAAGGTTTTCAGCTGGTCAGTGTCAGATCTCATGATCCCTGGTCCTGTGCTCACTTCTCACCTAGATACATGGCTGCCTCGGAGCAGGCTCATACCCAGAAACTGCCTTAGCAAATCCTCCTTGGAAATCCCATGAGCCAGCTGAATACACAGAAATCCTGCCCCTTGAGGGCTTACAATCTTTTTTGCTTGTTTGTTTGTTTGTTTGTTTGTTTAGATAGAGTCTCGCTCTGTCACCCAGGCTGGAGTGCAGTGGAGCCATCTCGGCTCACTACAACCTCTGCCTCCTGGGTTCAAGCCATTCTTCTGCTTCAGCCTCCAGAGTAGCTGGGACTACAGGTATGTGCCATCACATCTGGCTAATTTTTGTATTTTTAGTATAGATGGGGTTTCACCATATTGACCAAACTAGTCTCAAACTCCTGACATCAAGTGATCCACTTGCCTCGGCCTCCCAAAGTGCTGAGTTACAGGCATGAGCCACTGCACCTGGTCCAAGCGCTTACAATCTTACTGTGGGAAAAAAAAAACAAAAAACTGAAAAGAAAACATGTGCCTATAGATGAGGCGCACTGCAGATGACAGATGAAAGCAAGTACACAACCCAGGACAAGTCATGCACAGCCACAGGGAGACACGTGCACTCCACCTGGCAATGCCCTGACTACCTACACAGAAACAGCACTGTCGACCCTCAGCCTAGGATGTAGCCTATGGCTACAAAAAACGAAAAAAAACCTTAGAAAACAACATTCCCCTGACCCATATATTAGTTTCAAACTGGTACTGAGATATATAATCTAGATGTCCCCCTTGCCTCTTAGAACAGAGCCCACGCACTGAAGACCCCAGCTTGACTACCCAATCACCAGTGAGGCTCCTCATTATGCCTAACTGCCCTTTAGAGCTGCTCTGCGGCTAACGTGGAATGAGTTATTACTACGTACCAAGCACAGCCATAAGCCACGTGCATGTGTCATTCATGTGATCCCGGATTATTTTTATTATCCCATTTTGCACTTGAGGAAATGGAGAAACAGAGAAGTTAAGCAACTTGGGAGTGGAATATGAGCGAGGCAGGCTGACTCAGTGCTGTCCAAACTCCTACTCTGTGCTGCCTCTGGAGGGTCCTCCAGCCAAGAGGAAGCAGAAGGGCTTCCCCAGAAGAGCACACTCCCTTGGGGAGATTCATCTGCTTTGGGGCCCCCACTAGCCTTCCAGGCCCTCTACTGGTTCTTTGTATTTACAAAGTTCCAGTGTCAGCCGGAGGAGCAGCTGACCAGGACCCAAACACACTTTAAGTGAAACCCGCCTTCAGGGAGTTGGACGTCGGACCTCCAAGCCCCTGAAGCCCCAAGTCTTTCTATTTCTAATTTTCTGTCCTAGTGCCTTCTCCCGCTTGCTTCTTGCATAACCAGTGACCAGCCCAGGTATCCACGGAGGCGGAGGTACAGGACGTTTAGCCACAATCTCCAACCTGCAGGCAAATCGAGGGGCCTGGTCCTCTCCTTAAAACAAAGCTGTAGCAGCAACAGGGAGAGGAGAGGGTGAATCCAGCCCTGGCCTGCTAAGGTGGCCAGTCTGGAGACTCCTTTATCCAGGCTTACCAACACATTCCTATTCCACGAGGCTGCTGTGTGGATGGCAAGCACATTAGGTGGGCATGCTGGCCCTGCCACCATGCAGCCTCTCGAAGCCAGAGACCCCAGCCCTCTTCCTCCTGTACCCCGAAAGGCGGGGCCTGGATCACTTATTTCAATTTAAAATCGTCAAATAATTTTGGTTCTAAGATTGTCAAATCTGGGGCCTTTGGGTAGCAGAGTCAAGTTGGCATGACGAGGGTGCAGAACTGCCACAGAGACTCAGAGAAACTGGGTCACACACTCACGGCTGGGATTTCCTCAGATCCGTGCCAGCAACAGTGTTTGGTGGCAGCAAGTGTGTGGTGGAGCTGCTGCTGCAGGTACCACTGCACTGCCTGGCTCTGCTGCTCCAGCAGGCGGCTCCAGAACTCTGGCTCCTCCGTCAGTGGTTCCATTGCCCCACACGGCTGCCCCTCCCAACGGCGCCTGGCTCCCTGAGCACTGACACCTGACTGTCCCCACATGATGAAGACAACTGGTCTCGCCTGGCCTGACTGCAGATGGTGGCCTCTGGTTTCTTGGCAGAGGGCTTGTGCGACCCTTACAGGTGTCCTTTCTGCTCCTAGAGCTGCGTTCCCGGCGTGAAGCTTCACAAGTGAGAGGCAGTGGTCAATGCAGTTCTCAGCACAAGCTAGCTGGCCAGTCTCCCATGGCAGGCTCTGCTTTGTCCCTCTTGGTTGGTCCATAGGCTGAGAGTAGCCCAGAGGGGGTGTGGTCACACACTTCCCCCTGGTCAGTGCAGACAGTCACCCCACGAGTCCAGAGGATACAGACAGCACAGCAGGTTCCCAGGGTTGGCTGGCACTCTGGAAGGCAGGTCCCTGGGTGGACAAGCAAACTCGGCAGGACAGGGATGGTCCACAGCCGGGTCCAGGGTCTAGCCCTGCCAGTCACTCATGCAGCAGAGTGACTCATAGTTGGTCTGAAACTCCAGCAAAAGAACCGAATGCCCAGCTCCCCAGTCCTGATCTGTCCCATAGAGTGGCACGTTTAATCAACCTCTAGCCTGGGAGGGCACTGGGCTATGACTCACAGCCCTCACCCAGGCAGAGCGGCCACCACTGGCTGCAGCAACAGGGCCTGCTCTCACCCCACCCTTACACACACCCCTTTCCTCAGCCCCTGCTCTGCTCGCCTAACCAGCAAACGGCTTCTTTGTTAAAGTCACCCGTGGCAGAGGGGAAGGGAAGGAGAGAGGCAGGGTGGGTAGGCGGGCAGGGCAGGGCCCTACACATGCTTCAAGTTACAGGATCTGGGTGCTGGTCCTGGCCAACGTCCTCCAGTAACCCCCAGATGAGCCTGGCCTCCACAGCAGATGTTTCCTGCAATGGAAAGTTGCTGGCCAGGGCTCCGCAGGGAGCCATGGGGTGGTGAAGGGAGGTGCCAGGCCCTGCTGTTAGGATGAAATCCGAAATTCGAGACTTAAGTAGCCAGGGACTTCCTGGAGACACTCTCACCCCTCACCAACCCATCCATCCACCAGCTTCTCCATAGCAGCAGCAGCCGCCTAGGGATTTTGCTGAGCCAGTTTCAGATATGCTGCTGGCAGAGAAGCTGAGATCAACAACTTTGGGGTCTGTCTGAGGCACCTTCCTCCTTTCCATGGACCTTGTACAACCTTCAACATTAGCAAGAGGGGAATCAAGCCCCCCCAAAATTGTTAGATCTTAAGGGCAAAGTAGCAATTCTAAAAGCACAAATTTGGGTTCCCAAGGCAGCAAAATCCAGGAAAACGAAAGTCAGGCCAATGGGGCAAGAAAGTCTCCAGACCAAGAAGCTAGGGACAGGGATGAGACAGCAGTGGGGCTGGGAAGATGTGGATTCCCAGGGCAAGTCAGACCCTTGAAACAAATGGGGCCATTCCCTCACCCTCCCCCATCTATGCCATCTTTCCAGGAGGGTCTTGGCCTGCACAGGATGAGGAATGGTGCCTTCATCTTAGGAGTCTTGGTAAGTTAATAAAAATGGCCCAGTGAACACATTTCAAAATGAAGATTCCACACTAGGCGCGGTGGCTCCTGCCTGTAATCCCAGCACTTTGGGAGGCCGACGCAGACGGATCACTTTAGGTTAGGAGTGCGAAACCAGCCTGGCCAACATGGTGAAACCCCATCTCTACTACAAATACGTATTTAAAAAATTAGCCGTACATGGCAGCAGTTGTCTGTAATCCCAGCTACTCAGGAGGCTGAGGCAGAAGAATCCCTTGAACCTAGGAGGTGGAGGTTGCAGTGAGCTGAGATCGCACCATTGCACTCCAGCCTGAGCGACAGAGAAAGACTCTAAAAAAGTAGATTCCAAAGATGCTAATTCAGAGGAACATGGATTCTCCCGGGTAAACGGCGTTGGAGAAAGTAGAAGAGTCTGACTCCTCCCCCAAACCGTCGCCTAGCAAACTCCTCCAACCCTCTCTGCATGGACACCCCAAGGACGCAGGCATGGCTCTCCATTCACGGCGTAGAACGTCTCACTCTATCAGAAGGACACCTTCTCCAGGAAGGATATGTGCCTCCAACAGGCCCGTAACTTCTACTGTACTTGCTGTGATGTGTTTCAAATACAGGTTGAGCATCCCTAATCAAAAAACGTGAAACCTTTTGAGCCCCAACATGATGCCACAAGCAGAAGACTCCACACCTGACCTCACGTGGCAGGCTGGTCATGGAGCACGTCCCGGTCAAAACACAGCACTCTGCTTTGTGCATAAAATTATTTAAAATATTATATAAAAGTATCCTCAGGCTATATGTCTAATTGATAAATGAAGTAAATTCGGTGTTTAGACTTGGGTCCCAAGATATCTCATATATATATATATGCAAACATTGCAAAATCCAAAAGAATCAGAAATCTGAAACATGTCTGGTCCCAAATATTTTGGATAAGGGATACGTTATCAGGTGTTGAGAAAGTATTTACCAAGTGAATGCATTCCTTATCTACCTCTCAAAGGATGCCTGTTTACATTGCATCTTACACGTACACACAGAGATCCCTAATCCTGTATGTACGGCTTGTCAGGGCCTGGTCACTGCCAACTCTCTCCCTAGCTTCTCTTTGCCCTGCGTGTCAGCCCAATCCTGGGCAGTGTGGTACGCGAACGCAGCAAATCCATTTTCCAAGGTGGCCAGAATGCCTCCCTCGGGGTGACACCGGCCCCCAGTATGTAGGCAAGTAGGCAGCTCCAAGAGGCTCTGGACCCTTACAGTAACTACTCGAAAACATCCGAGTATTGCCACAGGCAAAGTGGCTGCCTGGGCTGTAAAGGGTGACATAGAGATAGGATATGCCCTGTGAGATAACGCCCCGGGAGATGAGTCTCATACGCAGCCGCCTTTGTCTCACCCACATCCGTGGTAGGGGCTGGGTAGGGCAGGGCAAGAACCAGCAGAGAGGGAAATGACCCTGGGCTAAACATTAACTCTATAGCAAACACCAGGAGCTGGGACCAAGTGGTACCCATTTCCCAGGGACGGTGAGAAGGAGGGGGAGGAGGAGCCCAGGAGAAAACAGATTTTGGCAGACCATTGATCTTACCCAGGAAGAAACCAGTCAGGATCTACACAGGAAACTCTGACCCTGCAGCCAAATCTGGATAGGCAGAAGCCAGATGTGGGACAAGGGGACAGGAGACCAGGAGGTAACTGAGCAAAGGAGGGAAAGAGGGACTGAGGCAGGCATGGGGCCTATGCAGAAGGGTAGAGAAGTGGGGGGACTGGGTTGGGGGCTCATCTGAAAAACTCAGGATGGGAGCCGGGAAGATCCTTCAAGTTGGGAGCAAATACAGAGGGAAGACAGGCAGAAGTAGAGGAGCAGCGTCAGTTCTGTGGCAACACCAGGTACCAGGCAGGTCTCCTACTCTGTCCACTGACCACCCCCCGACACCCTGAATTCCATTCCTACAAACCTTTGTTCTTTTGCTCTCACACCTATGCCAGCCACTCCCCAGGCTTTGCACTATCCTTCCCTCGCCTCCACAAAGTTGCAGCCCTAACAGGAGGTGCTTCAGGCAAGGAGGGTGCTAAGTCTCAGGCAGCTGCCAGGGTCTGGGCTCCTGTGCTCTCATCTCAGAATTGGTCCTTCCTGGGCTGCCATGGAGAAGACTGCTTGCAGGAATGTGCCAGGAGGCCTAGGAAGGAAACCCCTGTGACCTTGTGCCCCATCGGGGGCTGAAGGGGAGTACATTTCACCCCTCCTGCCCCAACAACCCTGGCCAGGTTGCCCCTCAACTCTGCCCTTGGCTCTCTGCTAACGGCAAAACCCTATTTCTGCTTTTCCCTTCATCTTATGTCTACTGGGGCTGCTCTCTTGATCTGAGGGCCCTGATGAATATAACTGGGGTGGCAAACTAGGGCTTCGGGGGTAAGGAGGAGTAGATATAATCAGGCCTGGGAGGAGTCAAGGCACCTGTAGATGACACAGCCTTCAAACTCCACTCTGGACCTGACACTCTCCTGCCACAGCCTCTCCCCGTGTCGTTGGGGTCCAACCACTTTCCTCCACATGACTCACTGTTTAGACCAAGCCTGTTTGTCATCATGGCAATGGCTCCTCCCTGGCTAGCCTTGTAAAAGTAAATGCTTTTGTCTGCAGCAGAGAGGCAGAGGTGAAGCGGGAGGCTGGGGCATGGGCTGGGTGGTGGCTGGGCTTCCTTCCCTATCAGACCTGGGCTGTTCCAGAGGGCCTGAGATGCTCTTGCCAATATCAGTGATTCTGCAGGGCACTGGCTCTCACTGCTCTGACCCCAGCTAGAGGATCCAGCAAGCATCCCCAGGACTGGGTGCTATAATGTCTTTACCTACCTGAAGGACATCTAGTGTAATGAATGAGCCTCAGATATAAGAACGGCTGGAGCACTGATCCTAGGATCCAGAGAGAGGTTATAGAGGGCCAGTCAGCAAAGCTGAGAAGGGGAGAGGAATCCTGCCTGATGGGCACATTCCAACCAGCCCAGGGCAACACAGAGGCAAGGCAGGAAGACAGAGCTCCCTAAGGAAACACAGAAAACCAGGTCAAAGCAGCAGGAGCAGGGCAAGGGCCTCCTGAAAAGGTGTGGATGACATTTGTGGAGGGGTGCTGGGGAGAGGAGCTCGTTCTGCTGCAGCTCCTGAGAAGGCATCTGCACAAGAGAGCATGGACATGAGCACTGCACTCTGAAGGAGCAGGGTGCCCTTTCACCCAAGGGTGGACCCCCAGGGGGACAACATGAATCCAGGAGAGGACAGCCACACACACTCCTCAGCAAAGAGCCCCTTGTGCCCTTGGCCTCTGAGAATGAATGATCTGAGCTAAGTGGAGAGTCAGGGATATTTCTGCAATTCACTTGGGGTGAGAGGGCAGAGGCTGAAAGGAGACAAGTGAGGATTAATAAAGGAAGAGGCAGGACAAAGCCAGGAAAAGAGAATCCCCTGGAGGATAATGCAAAGAGTCCCTGAGGTCCAACCACTTCTGCACGTCCCTGATGCAGGTGGAACCATCAGAAAGTAGAGCTCCGTCATGCCCGGCTCCTCTGCTGACTCTCATACGTGTCATCCGAACCCCTGACTTCTGCCCCACTCCATCCTCCAGCCAAGAGACAGCATCTACATTCTAGCCCATCGCTACAGGAAGAGGCTAAGGGAGAAGGAATCAGGGGATAGGATGGCAGAAAGAGGAGGAGAAAGTAAAGCCTGTTAGAATCAGACAGAGGGAAACCTAGCTGGGAGAATGGAAATCAGAAAGAAGGAAATGGTGGAAGAGAAAAGGAGAGGAAAGGAAAGGGGTGGCGTCAGAGAGCAAAGGGCTGAAAAGAATCCAAGGAAGCATAGACTGAGACGAAGTCAAAGGCTGAGCTAAATAGTAATAAAAAGAGAAATGACAGATAAGAAGAGGAAGGAGATTAATAAGGAGGATGGGAGCTGGCCTGTCCAAACCAGGATGTCCGAACTGTCTAACAGGGTGCAGCCACGTGGGGCCTGTTCCCCTTGGGGGCCTGAATTTGTGTGATGCCGCTCAAAAAAGGCGCAAGGAAGAGTTGAGTGAAGGATGCTGGGGTCCCCATGATAGCTGGGCTACGGGCCACTCCCACGAAGCTCAGCACTCATCCCCCTCCCCTACTCTGAGAGGCCAACAAACCTCCTAAGGGATAAGGGGGTGGCTCAGAGATAGCAGAGTCTGGCTTCTCTCCCACCTCAAGATACCTCAGCCTGTGACTCCTCTCCACAGCTCTGTACAGCCCATCAAATTCTGCCTTGGTTGCAGTGCACCCAGGACAGGACGGCCACTGGGCAGCAGGAGGTTGGCAGCTGCAGGGCTCATGAGCAGGTGCCTGACTTTGAAGAACCGCCCAGCGCCAAGTTTAGGAAAACACACATGTAGTCCACACAACTGATCTGCAACCCTCTCCCTACATCAAACCCACACTTCTCTCCTCCAGCCTGTCCCCTGGCCAGAGTGCCCTCCTCAACTCTGTCCTTCATAGCCACAGCTGTTCCATGCTCACATCACCTGTGGGAGCAGAACTTGGTGCGTCCAGGGAGGGGGCAAAGATGGCTTGCCTGGGATTCAGCAGAGTTAGGTGTGAGGAGGGCAGGTTCAGAGAGGTAAAGAGGACCATCTGAGGTCAGCCCCTCCTCTGTGAAGTCCCAGAAGGCAGAACACACAGCGGGAGCTGTCTGAGAGCCTCAGACAGCTGCTCTGCAGGGGAAAACGTTCACATCCCACCACCCAGTTTGTGTGACTGAGAGGCTGTGACCTCTGCCAGGCCTGCTTACCCCACAAGTTTCTAGGCTTGCAGCAGCTGCACAAGGCGCCCCCAGGATGACTGACAGTGGCCCAACTCCACACCTTCGCCACAGCCCCATGCGCCAGGAGGTCTTGTAGAAAGGGCATGCTTTTGAATGCCCTTGGGACAGAGGTCAAATCCCATCACATGGGTTGACTCCTCTATCAATGGGGGAAGTCTTCTGGCTGCATTTGCCCCAAAATGTCTTAGTTAAGGGAAGAAAACTGAGTTCAGACCCCCAGGCTGCCCCAGCACCAGAATTCCATCTGGCTTTGGAATGGCCACTCCCTCCCTGACTGGGCTCCTCCTTTAGAGTTGATAGACCCTTGTCTAAGAACCTCAGTGAGGTCGGGGATATGGCTGGCCACGCCTCCTTGGTCCCCTGAATGAAACCCTCCCTCCCCAAGTCTGCCCTGTTCTGCTGCAGAAAATGACCACTGCAGCTGGCTTAGGAGCAGAGGGGCTGCTAAGAAGCCCTATGGGCTTCCCCCACAAGGAAGCCCAATCGTACCCCACACCTCTTCCCCCCAACCTCCATCCCACTCCCAAACCCCATACCTCTTCCCCACCAAACTCCATCCCCCCTCCCCCATACCTCTCACCCCCAATCTCCATCAGCCTCCCACAACCCACACCTCTCCCCCGCCAACCTCCATTCCCCTCCCACACCCCACACCTCTCCCCCGCCAACCTCCATTCCCCTCCCACACCCCACACCTCTCCCCCGCCAACCTCCATTCCCCTCCCACACCCCACACCTCTCCCCACAACCTCCATTCCCCTCCCACACCCCACACCTCTCCCCCCCAACCTCCATTCCCCTCCCACACCCCACACCTCTCCCCCGCCAACCTCCATTCCCCTCCCACACCCCACACCTCTCCCCCGCCAACCTCCATTCCCCTCCCACACCCCACACCTCTCTCCCGCCAACCTCCATTCCACTCCCACACCCCACACCTCTCCCCCGCCAACCTCCATTCCCCTCCCACTTCTCAGGTACCCAACAAGAAGAGAAACAGGAATACTTACATTATACCAACTCTGGCTTTTCTAAAAGGAGAAAATGAAAGAAAAAGTAGAATTAGTCAGGGAAAAGATGGTGGGAAGGGCCAGAGGGAACGGTACACAGACAGCAGAGGGTGGGTAGGGAGGAGGGGTCCAAATGCAGCTGAATGCTTCCCATGTGGTTGCTCAGGAGGGGTCCTCCTTTCTCAAGGCAGTTCCAGAAAGGAGGCCCGGGAGCAGTCCATGCTGGAAGCCCACTGAGGGCGGGGTGGCAGGCAGCGGCAGCACCAGCTAGAGCTCAACCGGAAGGGAGTCGGAGCCCCATGGCAAGGTTCTGATGGGGTGAGGGGCGCGCTATGAACATTCGAGACCCAGTCCCCAAATGGGCCCTGACCAGAAGCAAAATGCTGATGGCGGCCAACCCAGCCTTCTGCTCTAAGACAGCCCCTTGTAAAAGGCACTTTTGAGGTAGAAAATGGTCTACCTAAAATTCCCTCCAACTTTGATCTCAGCAGGCAAATGAGTAAATCTCTCTTGTGCCAAAATTGGGCTGTACCTAAACCATAATGCTCGGGGAGTGCTTGGGGGTTCTGCATGGGTGGGAGGTTGAAGCACATCATCTCTAAGGGTCCTTTCCAGCCCAGCAGTGCCATAATTCCGTACAAGCAAAACAGACCCCACCCCAGCTCCAGAATGTAGGTGCTCTCCATTACCAGACCCAGGAGGAAGGAGACCTGAATGTGTCTCCAGGGAAGAGGAGGGATAGCTAAGATTGTGCCTTGTCTGTCTGCAAGCCCAACGGCCAGCAGTCCTTTATGTACTTCCCCTGGAAAGATAGATGAATACGCAGATAGACAAGCTTGTGTGCACACACACACACACCACACACATGCACAAATACACACACGGACACATACACACCACACACACATATACAAAGAGGCACACATGCACACGCTTGCGTGCACACACACACAAATGCCTAAGCTCCATCTCTTGGTGGACCGTAGATTATTTTCAGTTTTAGGGATCACTGGGTGGGGAAACTTTGCCCACAGATCAATACCTTGGCTCTATCCAGAGGTCTGGATCCCCTCTATCTGCTGTTAACGTCCCGACCCAGAAGGGCAGACGAGAGTAGCCATGGTCCTCAAATGTCTGCTGTGTCTAGAGGGGACGAAGTGACTAGGTACTGGAAGGTGAATGTGTGCCCGCAGTGATGACCACTGGCCATGTGATCTATCTCTCCCATTCCACTGGAACTCTGTAGAGAGGGTCCACCTTCACCACCCCCCCACCAGTGAAACCAGTCTGAAGAGGAGCTGGAAGGGCTGAGGGGCCTATCGTGGGTGGAGCTGCTTCTGAGTGGTTTCGCCCTCACACATGCCCTCCATGGCCAGGATGTGACCAGAAGCCAAGGCTCCCAGTCCCCCTCTGCAAGATGCTCTCCATGGTCATTTCCCAGCAAAGCCTGTCACCACAGTCCATCTGGAGGCTACACCCTCCCATCACAGCCTCATCCCCTCCTCCAATTCAGAGGTCTCAGCAGGTAAAGGGCCCAAATCCAAATATTAAAAATTTTTTCCTGAGTAAGGTGTGGCCATATACGAATCCCAGACCTGAAAACTCACCTCTAGGCATTACAGTCAAGGCTACCCGCTTCTGGAGGGGGTGGATGGGGCAAGCAGGCTGCATCTGGGGTCTGAAGCTCAATTCCTGGGTCCTAACACAGAAGCCCTGACTCAGAGCCCGCAGGGCAGCAGGCTGTGCAGACACCTCCCAGCAGTGGGAAGGTACGCTCTGGGAGCTGCTGGCCCCAGTGGCCCCAATCCACTGGGTCTCCTTGTGCTTCCTCAAATGCAACCCAGGTCATGAGATCCCTGAGTTGCAGGGGAGAAACAATCTCCCAAGTCCCCAGCTCCTCGTCTCAGTGTCGTGGCCTTCGTGTAAGACCCTAGGAGGAAGGCAGGCAACAAGAACATGGGCTGAAGAGGGGACCCCAGATGCCTGACTCCTCCTGCACAGGGCTCCCTCCTGCCCCAGGTAGACAGAAGTAGATGGACCCTTTGCATGGGCTGGCATGTGGGCACTTGTGCCTTCCAAATCTGTGTGGAACAATGTGTGAGGGTCACACACAGTCTTAGGCAGGGAGGCCAGTCCTGTCTCTAACCTGCTCTGTGATGCCCTTGTATCTAATGTTTGCTCTTTTGTAAAGCATGGATTAGAGAATGCATTAAAGAATTGAAAAGAAATGTGAAAGATACCAAAGAGCAGAACTGTGCTGAGGCTCTGCCCTGAACAGCCATCCCCAGGCAGTTTCTTACCTGCTGCCACGGAGGAGCCACAGGAACAATGGGTCAGCCCTCTAGCCATGTCTAAAGCAGCCCCCAAGCTGGTCCCTGAACTCTACCCAGCCTGTTGGAGGCACATTCGATCACCATGGATCTGCATTCCTGGAAATGAATCCTAAAGGCACTACCAGACAGGGAGGACCTAGACTCACAGGGCCAGGGAAGTCAGAAGAGCTGTGGGCCTCGGAGGGTAAGGAGGGGTGTCCCTCATCCTCTGGCTTTAGCTTCTGTAGCACCACTACCTGGAGGACAGGGCCAGAGGGAATGAAGGCACAGAACCAGGGAGCAGGGGTGAAGACTTCTCCGACAGCGTATAAATAAATGGATTTGGCCAAAGAGGAAGAAGGGAGAAAAGGACAAAGACACAGCTGTTGGGCACACACTCATTTCCATCACTTTTCCTAGAAGGTCTGAAAAGCAAGCACCTAAAGGAATGCAAGGCCCCTGGAAACAGACCCAGGTGGTTTCCAGAAACACCTCCCACTGCAAAGGCCCGGGGAGTCTGGAAGATGAAGGTAGGGGTGAGGGGGTAAGGACTAGGGGAGTGCTACATTTAGCAGGAGTTAGAAATAAAAAGCAATTCTTACTTTGATCAGGTTAAGTCTGTCATACTGAAAAGAAAACCACAAAAAAATTAGATTTAAAAAAAAAAGTACGGAAGTGAAAGGAGGGTGAGTGCCACGGCACCAGGGCGGCGATGCCGTGCACCGCGGGAGGGAGGCGTGCAGTGGGGCAGGAGGAGGTGTGCTTTACCGCACCTGCTGCTCAGCGCCCTCAGGGCAGGTGGAGAGCGGCAGAACGGCCGCTCACTCCCTCTGGTGGCCACAGGCTGTCACTACAGAGCGGAAGCCGGGCGGCGGCACAAACTCATTGGGAGGGAAGTGCTGGGGCAGGGCTGCACCTAGGAGGGTGGGCATGGGCAGCACAGTGACTGACGGATCCAGAGGGTCCGGCCTTAGTGATCACCTGATACCACGCCTACAGAGTAGCAAATGAGGAAATGAGGCCCCACAGAAGGGAAGAAAGACCCCGTGCATGGGACCTGACCCCAGGGAGAAGCAGAGGCACTGGCCAGCTTGCCAGGAAAATATAAGGCATGGTGTCCTCGAGGGGTGGCCAGGAGACGGGGAGTGAGGTGGCCTAGCTACAATATCAGCAAATATAGCCATGAAATCGACTACTGGGAATACATGTGATTAACCCAGGAAGATGTTCCACTGGGGAGGGGCGTGTCCCCTCCTCTTTTCACAGAACCATCTGCTCCAGACCCTGGCCTTCAAAGGACCTACTTCCTCTACTGGTTCTTGTGTTCCTCTTCTGAAGTCTGTGTGTCCTGCACACACACATCCCAGATCAACACGGCGGCTCCCAGTTCCACCTGGGATGCTACAGCATCCCTCCTCGCACAAGCCCGACCTATTTTAACGCCATTGAAAGGATGTCGGGGTAGGTGCTGATGGCAATTATCAGTGGGAGGATGAGGTGGGAGGTGGGTAACCAATGTCAGAAAACTCAGAATGTGTCTGCCAGGGATGGGCATGGCCTTCACCCCATCTCCCAGAGGAAAGGAAACCTGCACTCACCCCGGCACCTC